GAACACGTCATACTTTGAACCAAATGGACTAAAACGTATAACAATTCTGTAAAGGTCGCTTTAAAAAATAAAAACCCACGTCGTTTATTTGATTCCATGGTAGGCTGGTTGTTCAATATTGCATGAGTTATTTTGAAATTTTGACAAACACAGATGAAGCGTATTGTGGGTGACGGTCTGTATGTTGGTAGCATGTTTTGTTTCTTTTATCGAGTCGAGGGTGATTCGAGGGTGCGGCCATTGGGCATCGGGCAGGCGGACCCAACCAACCCGGCTTAATTAACGCGGGCCCGAAGCGAATATTAAATGTTCGCAAATAGACTTATTTGTCCATATGTCGGCCGTGGACCGTGCCTTACGCGCACCGCAACTCGACATTAATTGAGATATCCAGAGCTTTGTTGTACACTGAATTGTACAAATTCAAGGTTAGTTAGCTGGGCAACCGCTTTAAACTAAATGTTAACTGTTAGTGATGTGGTTACGATTCGTTTGTACGTCACTAGGAACACAATTACGTTCGCGGTGGTCGCCTTCAAACTGCAAATTGGTATTAAATAAAATGATTACGTGCGGAATGTAGTACATTGAAACACGTAGTCACATTTATATGAGGGTGTACTGTAATGTTGGACTTTGTAATTCCTGTGTTATTCTGTTCGTGCCATTTTCAAATTTAAATACGCGAATTATATAATTTGAATTGAAAATGTGGCTATAATCGTTTTATGTTTAAATGTTTATGTATTTTTATCAATATTTTATTGCAATTTTGTAATATATTTATGCATTTATTGAACTGTTTTTTACGGGACTGGAAGCAAACAAGCATATAGAAGTTATAAGAGCCGCTAATGGATAACAACCCCAAATACATTGCAAAATTGGCTTCACTAAAACAACTCTAGAATATAATAACACCTAGACAAGCACAAACACAAAAATTAAAACAAATTACTGAAAACTAATACCAGTGCATCTATAACATGCATTGTATGTACTACTAGTATATACTTGTATGTAGCAACGCAACAAAATTGCACAAGGCAAAATAATCCACAGAACAAAATCCCCTCTTGACTGCAAAGTCCAAGTCACCGAAATGTGCTTCCCGGCAGAATAGGATTGGCCACTACAATAGCTTAAGAGCCGAGACACAGCACACTACAATCTCAAGCCATTCGAGTGCTATTTTCACCTCAAGAAAACAAATAAGAATAAGGCTAGAATCCCGAGGCTAATCTTAAAAGATAAGATGAAATAAAAACTAACTACTATTTGGGTAAAAAAAAGTCAACTTTTACCTGCGTTAATCGTAAATAGTAGTAGTAATACTTAATACTCAATAGTTTATTGAATTCTATATATTACATAGATAGTTGGATGAGAAGAGTTGAACATCGAGCTCAGAGGCAATTCTTCTTTTTAAAAAAACGTTGCCTCACTTTAGGATTTTCTCCTGTGTTGTGGGTGCGTTTACAAACATACAATTTCACATACACAACACACCCAGACCCGGAACAACAATTTGTGGATCACACAAAGTGTTGCTCCGTGCGGGAATCGAACCCGCGACACGTTTCACAGCAGCCAGTTGCCCAGCCACCGCGCCAACCTATTTCCTGCAATAGACGGAAATAGGTTGATGATGATGATGATGATGATGATGATGATGATGATGGTAAGTATTACAAAGGTGGTATAACAAAAATAAGAGATCAATAAAGACCCTTTTGGCAAAGTTAGAGGCAAAGGAAAAAAGGCGTTTTGTATTTATGTTTTTGGGATTGGTTTGCAAACGATATGACGGATTACCAGATGGGAAGCAGGTCTGCGCGGCTGACAGACACCCGCAATACCATAGCATTTATGACTATTTGGCCACCCTTTTGATTATTAGGATTTCGGATATTTAATGATTGAGGAGATTTGGGGTAGGATTGGGCCTCCGGAAAACTCACTCACACGACGAAACACAACGCTGTGGTCGTTTCACGACAGTATTTGGGTACCATCCCGCATTTCATCAACGATTTGTCTCGCCTACCTATGATGACCACCAAGTTGTACTTTTCAGGAGACTCTGGCAAGAGCGGTAATTAATTCCACGTATTATCGGCTGACACGAGGAAACTCAAAGCGTTACGCTTGGTGTAAATAGTTGGTTTAAGTTACCATCGCATATTAATGTATAAGATACCGCATACAGGTGCTTAATTGGTGATAATAGGGACAACATATTTGTATTGATTATTATAACATTATTTTCATAATTGATGAATAGAGGGTGTTTTTAACAAAGGTGCAAAAACATAAACGGATAGAAGACATCTTATTATAGAAAACTTCCACCATATCTATGGTCGTGAGAGTCTTAGTTTTAAAAGGTATTTAATAGTTAATTAAAGTAATTATCAAAAATAAATATAAGTAGCTGTGAGTTCCTAGTATCATGGGTAAGGTGAAGAAAAAAAGAAAACAAACAAACATTAAAAGTTATGTTCATATTTACTGACTAATTTTCAAAATCGAAGTAAGTTTTAATTACTTCATACATTTACTTCCAGAACTTCCCCTCTAAGCTACACCGGTTCTAATTCAATAAAGTGACACGTCGCGACATCTAGCGGGCTAACCCCGAACTCAAACAAACCAAGCGACAGACCAACGGAAATAACTTTACCATATGGACGGAATAAGAAAAATCTGTTCATTATTAACGAGCAAAATGCAAATAAGTCTGTGACGTCATCATAACTATATCCGACTGCTATTGTATGCGCGAAACTTTTTCGAAGATGGTTAAATTGGTGTTACGTTCAACCTTATTCTCTGAAATTACTGATCATATTTGGTTGAGATTTGAGAAAAAAAATGTTTTGATTCCTGTGTATGTTCGTTCAGACGTTTTTATATTGTTTAACTAGCAATAAGTCTAATAGGGACGATGAGTAATTAATATCTAAGTGTGGGAGAGCTATGCTTCAGCATGAATGGGTCTGCTCGACCGGATTAATACCACTGCCTCACAGTGAACCGGCGTGAAACAACGACAGTGTTCTTTCGCCGTGTGAGGTTAACGGAGGCCCAATCCTTCCCTCCCCAACCCTTTCCAATCCTTAAATATCTGAGTCACTTATGTCCAAAAGGCCGGCAACGCACTCGTAACTTCTTTGGTGTTGCAGGTGTCCAGAGAATGGGCGGTGGCGACAGCTTACCATCAGGTAATGCGTTTAGTCGTTTGTCGAACTATCCCATAAAAAAACAAAACTCCCAAGTAAAGTGAAAACGCTTTAGTAAATCCTCTGGTGTAACCTATCTTGGTAGCTGCCTACTCCATAAAAATCTGTTCATTAATTTGCTAAATTATTGTTATATGCGAGTGTGGCAAACGAATCGTACGCCGTATTGGGGGAGAAAAAGGATTGGGTCTCCGGTGACACGTACCTAAGTAACACCAGAGTATTTTTTAATGCGTTGTCACTTTAATTGGAATTTTTTTTATGGTATAGTTCGGTAAACGACCCTACCCATTATGGTATGGACCCGCAACACCAAAGGAGTTACGACTGCGTTGCAGGCATTTTGGGGATAAGTGATTCAGATATTTAAGGATTGGGAAGGTATGGGGAGGGGAGGGAGATTGGGTTTCCAGTAGGTAACCCCACTCACATGGTGAAACACAACGCTGTGGTTATTCTACGCCGGTATATGTGAGGCCGTGGCATCACTCCGGTCGAGCCGACCTATTCGTGCCAAAGCATGGCTCTCCTACACTTACATTCAATTCATAGGCCTTTAAATGTTTCCTATTACGGCTAGCTAGGTATGTTATTCATTCACTCTTTTACAGTTCACTGGTGACTGTAAAATTGAACAATTTTAATTTAATACATATCATTTCATTTTAAGTAAATAAATGTAGACAAATGTTTGAGAAATACTATGAATATAAGAACATACACTTCATTCAATAGATGGTTAAGATTTAAAATATTACATATGTACGTAGGTAACATGATTTTCGCGATTTCCAGTATGCAATACAAACGAACAATACTTCTCTTGTTGAACAATTTATTTTAAAAATACAAAAACAGCAGATCTCAGAAACATTCGCAATATAAAATGAAACAAATTCTGTTAAAATGGAATATGCAGCACAAATATGGTTTAATATTTTCTTTGTTTTTTTATGAGACAAAAATATATGTATAGTGCATTCATGCTTCACCTCTTTCGAATAAATTAAAATTCATCGTACTGGCATAAACAATAACAATTATATATGTATGCACCTATGTTTAAAAAATATGATAACTTTTGAAAATCGACAACATTAAAAGTTCTTGGCAATATAGGTTATAAATATATTTGTTCAACTTGGTTAACTACAAGGAGATTTAAAGGGACGATAACGTGAAAACTTTTTGTCCAAACTGCGCCGACGCATCAAGGATCAATACCATTTACCTGCTTCGTAATGACCAAAATGAAATTATTTAACTAAATTAAATGAATAGCGAGAGTGATGCTTGTGAACTTATCACAAGTAAATGTTTTCATTAGATAATACGATACAAAAACATTAAATTTACCACGAACAGATAACTGGCTCAACCGTGACCTCTCGCCACACACCAAAATGATAAAACAATTAAATATTTTCTCTTATACTTCATTAAGAAACTACTTATTATGCTTAAATTAGTAGCTGTACATGACAATTAAACCATAACCAGCTCTGGTTTAACATTCTGATTTTATGAATAAAAAAACAGCAAACTTTTTGGTACGAATCGAAAGGATAGCCTTTGATCCCACAAACAAAAAATGTTAAAAAGTTATCATGATAGTGGATAGTCGCGATAATCTGACACTCGTGCGTGTCGTGAACCCTAACAGTATAATTAATAGTTACCAAACAAACTATTAGCTATGTAAAGTGTTTTATCATATTAATTAATGCCGTTGGTGATACACACTACACAGAACAGTGTACCTCCACATTACTGCATGTATTTGGCTTGAGTCACACGTGTGCACCCGAATAATTATTATTCGTTGAACTCACGCCACCCCACTCACTGCGTAAACACTCACAGAAAAAAGTGCACGCTTTATATTTTAATAAAAATTGCAAATATTAATCATCGGCACGCAAACCCTTGGTATTGGTAGTGCGTTGTTAGCGCGGCGCATGCGCTAGACAGTTCAGTCGCGACCAGTTTTAAATTTAGAACCGTGTCGCCGGAATTTCGCTGGCCTATTTAGACACCGCAAACGGCAGATTTTAACTGAATTCAAAGGTACAATTGTTATTAATGTTCATTTAAATTATTCGAGTCAGTGATTTATCAGTGATGGTTGGATGTGGAGTGAAGTGAAGTGAGAGCTGTCACCGTACTGTGTGCGCGCGTGGTTATGAGGACAGACTGCTGACTGTACCGCACCAACATGTTCGGGAGAACAATCCTAGTGTTGTTGTTATTGTGGACGCAAGGTACTGTAAGGTATCGTGCTGTGTAAGGGCTCGTGCACTTTATTCTACCGTAGTTTTAGTTGACGTGGCCGGTGCACTCCGGCACTGTGAGCGTAGGTGCATGCATGACATTTAGATATACACACGCACATACATTTCTATAGGCGTCGTAGTTCGATTCTACTTTCTATGAATGAGTCATAGTCAATTATACTCACTGACAAAAGCATTCAACAGACAGATACTCGTAAACCACGCGGTTTACGAGTATCTGTCTGTTGAATGCTAACATTAATGAGATTAAAAACTCAGGTAGATACTCTAGATCGGATAATATAATGTTCATGAAAACAATGAAAATCTATAGAGGAACTAATTAGTGTTTTATAGAGCTGACATAGACTGGGCGGTGTACTAGATGCGAACTGAGAGTATTGAGCTCTCTCTCTACTCTTAATTAATACAGGGTGTAACAGAAACGTTTACCTTTTTGCATCCATACTGTATATGAGTGCCGTTATGTGGTGCTTTTAGCTTCAATTGTTTGTTGAGTTATAGTAAAATATTTTTAATATTTTGAAATACATTAATTTAAATAACTGTTGTTGTAAATAGTCTCTAATCTGATTATAGCGTATACACAGACACACAAAAGCAAACACGTTTTTTGTTTCATACTGAGCCTACAATAGTATTAGAGGCAGATGGTAAGGCATAATTCTGTATAATTTTTATACCCAAAAAAAAAACAATCAATTATTTTCTTTATTCTTAGAAATGTACTTTAAAACAGTTTTACAATATATTTCAGATGCAGTTCGGAGTTTGCGTCTCGTGGAGCTCCGTGTACCAACACACGAGCCAGAAGGTGGAATGGCTCTTCTTGGCTGCCAGTACGACTTAGAAGGGGACACCCTGTACTCTGTCAAATGGTACAAGGACGGCCGTGAGTTCTACCGCTTCGTGCCTAAAAATGATCCACCTGTATATTACTTCCAAGCGCCAGGAGTAAATGTTGAAGTAAGTATTTGAAATCACATCAGACTATAAGTGTCCACTGCTGAGCAAAGGCCTCTTCTCACATGGAGAAGATTTGAGCATTAATCATCACGCTTGCTCAAATTGGATTGGCGAGTTCAAACTTTTCATTAGAAATTATATATATCCAATCCATATGTAGTCCAGGTTTCCTCACGATGTTTTCCTTCATCGCATGTCAGTACGGTACAGTAAATAATAATTATAAGAAGTATATAAAACTCAGAAAAAAAAATAGTTTGTGCCAGGTTTCGAAACCGCACCCTCATGTGAAGAAGCGGGCAAATTTGAAATTAGAGTATTGTAATAATGGCACTTATTGAACATAATGATGTGATGAATATAATTGTATTAATCTATGCATCAATCTATATATCATTGCTATGGATCGGGCTAAATAACCATTAAATAAGTCTGAGTAAGAAATTTTGTATATTAGTTTTCGCTTAGTGTTTATATAACACAAAATTATTTTTACCATATCAAAAGGTCACAAATAAAAAAAAAGCACGAAAGCTTTACGTTTGCTGAAACGTTTAAATAGGTTTTAATAACTTTACTCTCTCATAATTCGTGTCAGTAGATACTTGCAAAAACTTCGTGTGACCTATAGTTTAAATTTTGTTTTGTTAAGGGCTGGCGTTTCAATGGTTAGATAAAAGTTACCTGGGGAATAATTATGATGCTGTCGCCTCAGAATGTTTGCATAAGACAGTGACAGCAACAATTTTATTCCTCAGATAACATTTGTCAGACTACTGAAAAATCTGCCCTAAAGAATACACTTTTTGTTGCACTTTATGCAAGGTTCTAAACATTGTATGTGATTTCTCGTGGAGATAGTTATTGTAATGTATTCGAAGAGTTTAGTAATTTATTATTTACAATAGATATTGTCTTCCCTAACATTTACCAAATCATGTACCTACCTAACTGAGTGATGAAACATATGACAGATCCCATCTTAATGTCAACCAAGTACCATTAAACCATCAAATAAATTATTCATGAATACTTTCATTGCACTGTCTAGACATCTATACTTATATTATAAAGAATTTGTAAGTTTGTATGTAGGGGGTAATCTTTGGAACCACTGGTCAGATTTTCAAAGTTCTTTCACTAATTAATAGCTACAATGTTCACGAGTGCTATAGGCTATAAAACATCACGCTACAATCAAATGGAGCCGAGCAGCGAGAGAAACCACGCAGGAGTAGCTAGTGAAAAGTTATGTATGTACATAGTTACATAAAAATATATCAGGTAATATATGATTTTGTACTTGAACATTAGAATTTTTTAAAGATTTATTATGATTAAAAACGTTTACTAGGGTTACTCGTGAGTCACGTTGTCGCAAATCCGACTGCTGATCAAAAGTTTTGAGGTTTCCCGTGTCAGCAAATTTAAATTGTACCAAAACAAAGAAGAACATATTGTTCTAATTGTGATTTAAAATTCTAAAATAAAAGGATATTTGAGTCGAAACCTGGCAAGTCCCAATGTGACTTTTTCCGACTTATTTGCACTTTTATGATTATTTAGACACCACTGACCCACGGTGAAGAAATCGTCAAGAAACCTGAAGTTATAATTTCTAATAATAAGTTTGAAATCGCCAATCTGCCCTGAGTGATTACCACAATTAATGCTCATATCTTCTCCGTGTGAGAAGAGCCTATGCTCAACAAGGGGCACTTATAGGCTTGAATTAAACGATTGTATTATAAAACGGTACACATAGCTAGCGAAGAAAACCTGTGCTTTTCTTTTTCGTTTCGGAAAATATTGTTTATAAAATTAATAATTAATCGCTATTCAGATTAACAAGAGGTGGAACACCGAAATGGTTTTATGCAACCGTTACAATCAACCTTAAAATTGTTTTCAATCGCTTCATGGTGAAGCGGACAATAAAAAAAATCGTTTCAACTTATTGACAATTCAATTTTAAAGCCTCGGGTAAATGTTATGTATTTTGCTGTTTCATACAGATAAGTAAATAATCCATTGACTGCGTACATTACCGTATTTATTTACTGTGTAGTATTCAGCAAACATGTCTGTCGAGCGATGTATGAAAACTCTGATTAAAAAAAAACTTGTATCGGTTATTCAATAATGATATGCGAAATATCAAAGTACAATTATAATTTTTGAATCTATACTAATAATATAAAGAGGTAAAATGTGTAAGTTTGTATGTAGGGGGTAATCTTTGGAACCGCTCTGGTCGGATTTCCAAAATTCTTTCACTGGCAGATAGCTAAAACGTTCCTGAGTGCTATAGGCTATAAAACATCACGCTACGATCAAATTGAGCCGAGCAGAGGGTGAAACCGCGCGAGAATAGCTAGTATGTAAATAAAACTGAAACATATTAGGATTGATTATAAAGGTAGGCTAAGATGCAGTTATCAGATATACTTTCTTATTAAAGGTGTACTAGATTAATTAATTAACATATAACTAGCGACCACGCTATAGATGCAATATTGATAGTAACTTCACTATTTAATGGATGTTAGTATACATAATATAAAATTTTCTCTTCAATCACTCAATCTATTAAAAAAACGCAAAACAATCCGTTGCATAGTTTTGAAGATTTAAGCATACATAGTGATATCAGGACAGAGAAAGCGACTTGGTTTTACACCACGTAAAGATTATTCAATATGAAACTCAAGCAAAGTCAGCGAAAATTTAAGTCAGGACTGAATTCAGGGAAGACTAAGAGAAAGTTACTCAATCTGTGCTATAGAGAAAATGAGGCTAAGATTTAAAAATATTACCAAAGACAAAACCTATAAATTAGTAGATAAACTATATCTACTATTATCTTGTTCGTTTTGTGTCTTTTATGCGTCCCAGACGCGAATAAATACTTTTTCTTTCTTTTCTTTTCTTTCTTTCTTTCTTTCATATAATGTATCATTCCTCTTTACTCGTAGTTAGAATTTAAAGCTAATGATTACTCTGTTCTAACGTAATGGCGCAAAAACGTGGACAATAAAATGATATAAATATTTCAATGTCAGTTACAAGGTAATGTACGTGAAATTATGAATGTTTTTAAAGAAACAATGACATATGGGAACCAACTGTGACGTCCTGTATTTTCTATTCCGTGGTGACGTCATTGGCTCGAGTTGATTATAAATGAGAAAGATTGGTGAATTTAGTGTAGAGATAAAATTAAATGTTAGTCATAATTAAGAATCAGACGAAACTTGGTGCAAACATAGTTTGTAGGGTAATGTTTTCTTCCAATATATAAATTATTGATTACTTTTACCCCCGTTTTTATATTGCATGTTATTTCAATGGCCTACTCCCGTATCTATTTGACGAGATAACTCGTCTACTTTCAGGCGACGCTAGGGCTCATAATAGGCTTTGCGTGTTCTAAGCGAGTTACTTGAGTAAAGAAAATAATTTTATTAATTTAATGTCTCAAAAAATTTACATTTAATTAATAATCAAACCCCAAGCGAACGACAACGGCGTTCGCGCACCTATTGTTTTTCTTGGGTGCGTTTACAAACATTCAATTTCACATACCCATGACACCCAGACCTGGAACAACAATTCGTGGATCACACAAAGAGATGTTCCGTGCGGGAATCGAACCCGCAATACTTTGCGCAGCAGCCAGTTGCCCAACCACCGCGCCAACCGTGCAGTCAAAACTGTCTTACTATTGTGTTTTATTACCTCGCCTAAAAGTTTATTACAAAAATATATTGTGTATTCTATTTATTTCCACAAATAGACAGAAAAAGATAGTTGACTCTGATTTCTATATTTCATCGAACATGTTACGAACAAACTTCATCGTCGTCGTCATGGAAAAAGCTATCTGTAACTTGTAAACAACTATTCGGAATATCAGCGATACTGCGAACAACTTTCCGTCTCACTAAGTAGTTGCTCTTTACGTCAAATGTACACAAGTACTTGTATGTACTCTTCGTCACTTCGTCATACCTAGACATAAAGCTACAGGTACAAAACCAGTATAACATGATCGTCGAAAGTGCGGCAACATCATACAAACAGAGGTCAAGACAGAAAAGAGTTTCGGCGTCGGTTTCGATATAGTATCGTGTGATACAATACCTATAGGTTTTACAGAAAAATAATAATTAAGCAATAAAAAAATGTAGTCAACTCAAACATAAATTAGTAAAACTTGCATTAAGTATATACTTTACTTGCCTTAGTTTAAATGTATTTTTTCTTTCTTTTCCCATTTGTTGTTATATACCTATTATCGCGGTTTATGCATTATTTATAATGTTTTTGGTGTTTATCTCTAAAGTGATGAGGCACTTAGACTTTGCTTGAACGAGGATCACAATGTAGTAGTGAAATTATTTTTGAAAAGCTAAATAAAACCGGCGTGAAACTACTACAGCTGTCATTCGCCGTGTGAATGAGATTACGGAGGCCCAATCCCTTCACTATGTTATTATTTATTTGGCTTTTAATGTATTGAATAATAAAGGATATCAAATTGAATAACCAATTTGAGCTACATAATAATTAACAATATATTATGTAGAAAGGTCATTATTACACAGTTGCCGCTTTGACTAGGCATTAGGCTGATGCGCAATGTGTCTTCCGATTCCTACTAAAAACAACTCTTTCTAAGATCCATAAGTTATTGAAAAAAGTCCGGGTGTACAAAACAAGACCACGTATAGGTATTTAAAAAAAAGTCATCTGTAAGTATTATTACAATAAAATAACTCATTTGTAAGTATTATTGGACATGAAATCGTAAGGACTCTAAAGTGTTTAGTATAGAATTCCATTTTCGAAATAGTTGTGACGCAATATCTACTTCTGGCTACAAATTTCAAGACGGTTTCTTAGAAAGCAACCTTTTGCCTGCGACAGTACGCCTCCGCGTTCCTGTGACCTCTTTTATAGGAACAACATTTTAATACCTACTTCGAAATTTTGAAACTCATAAACATTCTCAAAAGTTTATCCAATGCTTTAACTTAAATTATCATTTTACACATAATTTTAGCCCAATAAAACTTTAATCTGCTAATTATTGTTCTAATATCGAAAACTAGTACCAAGAAGCCAACTGCGTCTTAAATCAATATATCTACGGCGCAAAACATGTGAAAATATCCTTAATTCCAATAAAAAGATTACGTCACCAGGCCAGGAATTAAAACTGACACACACAACGACCATGGCACTCACAATCTACTCACCAACGAAGCATTCATAATAAAATAGGTAACAAAGTCATCTTCTCAATTGATATAAGGTACAGCAGCCTCGGCCTCGTGCAGAAGTAGGAACGGAGGAGTTTTTAATCAATAAGAGACTGACACTCCCACTCGCCATAACATCTTCTTAATTGATAAAACCTCCTTCTTTTACAGATAGGACGTTCTTCGAACACAGTGGTGGCGCTAGTGAACCTCACACAGGAGTCTGCAGGACATTACCGCTGCGAAGTGTCCGGAGAAGCCCCCTCATTCGCCACTGTGTTCAGACAAAAATACATTAACATACACTGTAAGTACTTAACTTTATTCTACGCCTTATTCACTTAAACACACTTGTTCCCTTATTAACATAACCAAGTCAAATTATGCCAAAACTGTCGCCGGCCATGTTGACCACAGAGTAAACATGTTTATTTTCTGTTTTTTACGAGTTGCGACGTTCAGGTGTTGAGTTTCGAATTTGGAGTAAAATAATAAAACCTTAACCTTAAGCTTAACTTTTGTTTTATTTAATTGTGCTGCTTTAGTCACGCTAAATTAACTGAATCGAATACTGAGGCTTTTTCAAAACCATTCTCCTCCACGAGTACTTTTTTGTTGAACAGATTTGTTTTTGTAAAGCAAACATATTTATTCTTGTATCATATATTTCAGTGCTTCCAAAAGGCGGTCCCCGAGTTATTGGTCTCAAAGAACAGTACAATTTGGATGACCTAGTTGTGGCGAACTGTACGTTGCCACCTTCTCGTCCAAAGGCGCATTTAAAATGGCTCGTCAATGACAAGCCTGCTCCTTCCTCCTACATTCTGGGACCCTGGTACCGAGTGTCAGCTGAACGACCTGATGCTGCTGAAACTATTCTGCAGCTAAGCTTCTTTGCAACTACTTCTGACTTTGTTAACGGTGCCATCAAATTAAAAGTAAGTATACTATTGGTAGTGTCATGACCATTGAAAAGCTCTACCCCATGGCTTAAAGCAATTTCCTTAAAAGGACTGTCAAAACTAAAAAGAACTTTTCGATTCAAAGATTAGGTGGTTTGTAATAAAAACCAAAGCTCTCACGGCTTTCCTGTTTGAGCACACGCCGACCTATGTATAGCATTTCTTCAAATCATTTGTTTACTCAAAAGGATAGCTACCGTCTGTACATGTTTCCAAAAATGCAATTTGTGTTCACTGCACACATGAATCTTTTGACTAGGTACTTTTTTATTTGTACTTTGCTTTAAACTGGGAGTGCTATCTCAAAAACGCTTGCATATTCATTTATTTATATTTGTTTTAGTGCCAAGCTACGATTGCACCACTGTACCAAAGAGAGACGGAGTCCACACATTATATATCTCTACCTTTTTCTATGGCTGCCCATCCACCTGAGGCAAAGGAAATCAGAGGTAGGTAAAGGTATGCAAACTGTGCGGCCTCACAAATAAATTACTTCACATAATATGTAGCAACAGCACTTCTGCTCATCATGTTCTTCATAATTAGTGATATAAATCACGCCCTTTCACTGCAACCTGAGACAAACCGCCATAATTTTCTGTTAATCGTTATAAATAAATATATTTTGCTTAGCAAATGAAACGTTGACTGTAATGTTCATCCTTTAGAACTAATAGCTTTAGATTTAACACCAAACTGTGTGTGTAACATGTAATATGGAAATCATTAAACGCTTTACTTACATATTCTGTTGTTTTATTTTCAGACATCGCCTCGTCGGTGGAAAATACGTTAGCAACTTTAATAGTACCAATTATGATATTAATATTAATGTAATAGTACCGTGATATCAGTGTTTAGCGTAGGTGGCCAGAAATGTGTGTTATTTGTTGAACAAATCGGTAACGGATCACATTTCGAGTTTTTTGTGGAGAGACGTGATGAATGCAATGTAGGACGTTTCAGATACGGTTAAACAATTCTTTGGAAGTTCACAAAAGTTGAACAACAGGAAACATAGGTGTTGGTTAGCTGTATATACATACATACATATGTACATATCTATGTGCAACTAACTAGGGAAGTTGGTCCTACTACGAAGCAAAGCGCTCGCAATCTTGAATAGTTTCGTTTCGGAACGTTACAATTATACTACCTTCGAAAGTTGTACGCATTATACTTAAGAAAATATTTCTACACAGTTTCATTGAGTAAGAAAGGATGTGACTGTTGAGACACATTTATATCTTTAATTTTATGTGAATATCTACCTTAAGTAATCTAACTAATAAAGTTCACAATCACGATGACTATGTATGAGTTGAGATGGATATATATAATTTATATCATGCATATCTATGAATTTATATGATTTCTTTTTACGGCAAAATAATAAAAGTTTTTTTTTTATATAATTTTCATTGATAAATACCGTTTACATGTTTTGAGATTACGGCTTCAAAGTATACAATCAAGTTCAGAATTCTTATAGGTTTATACTGATATTTTAAAATGAAAAAAGATAAATATAATTATTGTTTTCTCCACAAGTTTAGGTAAGAAATTACCGGTTCCATTTGAAAAAGAAAAGAAAAGTAACATAGCATAGGACTTTTTATCACAATATTTCAATAGAACAAGGATGGCGACCTAATTGAAAGAAGTCTTAATACCACACGGACAAAACTGTAGTTGGAAACTAGTATTTGATAATTAAAGGTGCAACAAATAAAAAAGGCAAACTCCAGTATGAAGCTTCATATAATATAGTTAAATAAGTATTTTTTTCAGTTGACGTATAAAGTGCGGTTGTGGCCAGAAAGACAAATTGCGGGCTCGTTGTTTTTTTATTTCCTACCCAATAAAAAGCAGTCGCCAAGCAAAAATATTTTCGACCTCTCCGTTGAAATGCACTTTTCGGCGGCGAATACGAAAAATCTTTGGCTATATTTTGACGTTGCTGCTTTTAATAAAAAATACTGGTTGTAGTTGGTTATTTTATTTTTATGAAAACTACATCAATGAAATGTTTTAATCTTATGTAAATTGTCTGTTCATTTATGTCAGTCAACGTCTCTTAAACTGCTATACAGATAAGGATAAAATATGTAGTAGGTATGCCTATGTATAAGATGATTTAAGAGCCCAAAGCTTAATAAGGCCTTGTTAAATAGCAAATAAATTGATTCCTTATTTAAGGTAAAAAATGCGGACTGGCCATAATCGTCAATAATACACATTTTTGGCTACCTCCTAAAAGAAAAAAATAAAGACGTAAGTTATTTTTCGATGTAGATTTTAAATGTGTACTTACAAATTAAGAACTAGGTATGCAATGTAACATAGCGTTTCTACTATAATTTTATTCATATTTATAGCGTTATAATAATATAATTATTGTTATATGGCTTTAATTTGTATCCGTGAAATTATAATATGAGCTTAAAGTTATGTAGATAAAGTTTAAAATGTTGGTGGTCGTTTGCGAAACGCTCCGTATTTACTTTACTCCTTCGATAGACGAATAAATGGTCATTATAAATTTCGATTTTCGAATAGTTTAGCTGTACTGTAAAGTTTTATTAACGACCATCATAAATGAAAAATATTTTAGAATAAAAGAAAATGGTTTTTATGCACAGACCAAAGTTAATAGATAGAATAATGCTTAACATTAAGGCTAAATACTTGATGCATAATTATAAAACTTCAAATATAGGATGAGAGTATGACATACAATGTTAAGAACAGTAACTAGATACATTAGTAGTGGTTTTATAACTGATTGATGCTTTTTTATTGCCAGTCCATTGTATTATTGTATATGTCTAATGCAATAAGGTCGAGTTTAAAACTCTTAATGAAATAAATACAGATGTATTTATTTAATTAATATCTCATCCTCTTCTTCCATTTTTAATTTACCCGTATTACATTTTATGTACCTATGTGTTTTTTTCGTGATACACTGATGCATTCGAATCGAATAATGATATGGTTTTATGTAAATTAAAAATATTATTTTGTTTATAACTTTTTTTATAATATTAATGAGTGATTACACCATACTAATTAGAAAGGTTGTGATAGCGATATGACTGCTTTGCATGACGACAACGAATGTACTTTATAAATAAAGGAAATACAGTGAGTTAAAAAACGAGTATTTTTTTACATTTAATTTATTTACAAAGCTTTATCATTCATTTAGGGTGTAAGTATGGAACTTACTGAAGCGTTTTATTTCTATCGTTAAAGAGTATCGTTGTTACATTTTTAATATCCAGATCCTCGTGGTCCACTCGGTCCACCGCTTGGGTAGCCTTCTTCTCCATTTCCACCATTTTGAGATCCACCACGTCCTCTACCACCGTTCTGGCCACCAGGTCCACCTCTGCCCCCTTGAGGTCCACTTGGATAACCATTGCCGTTGTTTCCATTACCTCCAGGGAATCCTCCACTATTTCCTCCTGGACCACCACTGGGATAACCAGCGTTACCTCCCGAAGGACCACCACTGGAATAACCACCGTTACCTCCCGAAGCACCACCTGGGAAACCGCCGTTACCTCCCGCAGCACCACCTGGGAAACCACGACCACCTTGAGGACCACCACTGGGATATCCATTCCCTTGACCACCGCCGTTCAAATCTTCTATACTTGAACCTGATGGGAACTGAGAACCTGATTGGCCTCCTTGGCTAGGTCCTCGGCCATTTCCATTCCGTCCATTTCCACCTGGTCTCCCACTAGGGTAGCCCATAAATCCTTGGCTTCCTGAGTCGCCCTGACCAAAACCGCCTTCTTGGTAACGCCCAAGACTTCCTGACTGATCTTGCCCTGAACTTGGATATCCATTGTCACCACCAGGGAAATTGCCACCGGGACCACCTTGTGGGTAGCCTTGACCCCCACCTTGAGCCCCGCCTTGCCCTCCTGCGCCTCCTAAAGAGATTTAAATAATGATACTTAAAGACTCTGACATAAAATTAAAACAACGAGCCTTTTGCTGTTGAAGCAAAATTTAGGAAACTTAGAAGTGAATAATATTAACTTTTCATTGTATGCAAATTAAACTGAGAAATTATAGAGTAGGTCTCAAAAGTGAGTTATTGGAATGCCAAAAAAAAATCATAAAGAGAAGTATAAAAAATCATTACCACGACCAAAACCATTGCCGGCCCCACCGTTGCCGCCACCTGATCAAAATGAACAAAAATAAATAAAATAACTGAACGTTAATGGGATACTTGGAACCAGCAAGTAAAGTCCAACTACTAACAGCTTTGTTTAAGTACAGCGTTCATTAGGTAATGTAAATTTTACAACGAAAATGGCTAATTGGAAACAACAACAGCTTTCCTACTAACGTTGCCAATTTTGTTAATATTTTTGTGTATTATTTTGGACAAAAAAGTTTTGAATTCCGATCAAATACCAATTATTTAATTGCTGCAAAATTTACACAACATCATTTATTCAAACACACATCATAGATTGGATGTCTCCGTTTTGTACATGTATATCTCTAAATGTGGAAATGTTTGATATGCAACGCAGCGTAAGCTATACAGGTGTCGCATCGCCAACCAAAACAAAGAACCAACCCTCGTATCGGATCTGAGGCATGTATCCTTGCAGGCCGGCCTCGTACTCAACAACCTGTCGCCTGCCATCGGGCAGCACTACGTTATACTCCCCAGTGGCCAGGTCGCCATCACGCTGCTCAGAATGACCAAATTTAGTACCTGTCTGAGCGTCGTCCACCTCATAACTAAACTCGTATTTAGCCGGCTCCTGAAATTTTATAACAATTACATTATACACTGAATGTCCTTAAATTGATTATAACACACACTTTTACATAGGTTTTCAGGCTATTTAAGCTCTCCAAAATTCCGCCATGACTGATGATGACGCGGTCTTGAAAATTTTCTGTTATACAGAATTGGATAAAATAATTGCTTAGTTCTGCTTATAAGCAGATGCAAAACTTAATCCTTTCCATTTCAATGAAAGCAAAAGTGTGATTGTCACTACAGATAAAAAAGAGCTAAACTACTTACATTAGATTGTCCATCATCATAGTTAGATCCACGACCATTGCCTCTTCCGCCAGGACCTCCAGAACCACCAGGACCGCCACCAAAGCCGGGCACACCATATGATGATGATGGTTGACCGCCGTTGCCGTTGAACCCACCAGCACCGGCAGAACCTTGAGACCCAGCGCTAGGCGACAAATAGCTAGAGTCGGGCCCACTTTGAGATCCTTGCCGCTGGTTGCCTGACTGACCATTGGCTGAAGATTGGAAATCTCCAGTTGGCGGGGGACCATAGGAACTGTCGGGTCTTTGACCGAAGCCTGGCCCTCCACCGTTGGATCCACCCTGTGCTCCGGGTGGACCGTATGACGATTGAGGTCGGCCTCGGCCACCGTTAGAGCCACCAGGGCCTCCTCGTCCACCTGGGCCCCTTCCATTTGGTCCTTGGCCATTACCACGTCCTGGAGGACCGTATTGTGAGTCAGGTGGACCACCTTGAAAGTTACCAGGACCTTGTTGAGAGCCAAAACCTTGTGGACCTTGCCCATTGCCTCTTGACGATGGTGGGCCGTACTGCGTATCAATAGATGGTCCAGTTTGTCCATTTGAGTAAGAATCTTGTCCGCTTGGACTCAAGCCACCACCAGGTTGAGATCCGCCAGAGGGTCCACCATTGCTCCCAGGTGGGCCATACTGTGATGATGGTCGACTACCAGAGCCAGAAGGAGGTAGGTAGCTATTTACAGGGGGTTCACATCTACTTGACGGCCACGCAAGGGCGGTAAGTAAAAATATGTACTGAAAAAAAGAAAATAATTTGAAACACGAAAAAGGACGGCGCATCCCCTACAGTTTACTGTTTTAAGTAACTTCTATTGATATTTTCTATTTAGAATATATTAAACAATTTTATTAATATTACAATAAAATTATTGAAGATGACTTGAAAAAATATTTTCGCACACAAAGGACATTTGAAACTGTAACTGTAGTTTATATACTACTTAGGAAACAACAAGACACGATATGTACGATAAAACCATATGTAAATGGAAGCACTTACTAAAATCATCACTGGGGAGTTTTCATGTAACCTTAACGCTAGCAAAGCTCTGAAGATGTGTTGCTTTGCTAAGTTTTAGTTTTGGAATACATTAAATTTGAATAGTCGCTGTTTATATAGGAACGGTGGTAGTGAGCGTGATACTGATACGTTGCAAGAGCTCACGCGTGAGTTTTGCACCTAGATTCGTGCATCTGCCTGGCGGCCGTCACCGAGCGGCGCCCGCGACGCGTCACCGTGGGACTCCCGGACAAACGCCATCGCAAGCGCAGCAAATAATGACTCCGTTACGTGATGAACAAACAATTAATATCGACAAAACGTTCCCATTTATTTTAGATAAATTGTACGCCTGTCAGTAGATATGTCGTGCAGCAAAATTTATGAGCTAAGAAATAATATTTTACATTATTGTGCAAATATTAGATGTTTAGATACAATTTGGGATATTTATTATTTCATTGTATTCAGAATATTGGTTTCTAATTAATGATTTGTTCCACAAAATTCATGATCGATTGTTTTCTTTTTCAGTTACTTAATACTTTTTAAATATTATGGTATCGTACATATGTTGGTTTTATTTATTTGTCGGAGAAATCACGTGTTGACAACAATGGATGTAGGTTAGGTGCACCATGCAATGACATGGTGTGTGCGACACACAATATTTATGCACGCAATATTACCTATCATTTTCAATCATTTATCATACTAACAGGCTGCGTAATCTTTATTAGTTTACTTTTTTTGTACTATTAGTATATATTATGTGAGGTTACCGCAGGCCCAATGCATTCCCCTCCCCCAGCCTTTGCCATTTCTTAAATATCCGAAGCCCTTATCCCTAAAAGCCTCGTAACCCCTTTGGTTTTGTAAGTGTCTATGGGCGGCGCTGATTGCTTACCATCAGGCAATTCAAATCCAAACCAACCTATTCCAAAAAAAAACAATATTATTAAATCTGTTCAGTGCGCTCATCTGCCTTCTTCATTGAGGTTAAAGAGGCAACGTTTTATTATGTCTTAATCCAAAGTAGTAAAATTCTATTTCGAGCAATAAAATCAAAATTAAGTATCGAATTTTACTGGATGCAATTCTGTGTGGTGTAGAGAGGTTTCAAAGTAGACGTGGGCACCGTATTTTTAACTTACGAAGGCCATGTGAGTGACATCGGTGCATTTACTATCATTAAACCTACGTGCCTATGTACTTATAGATAGTTACTATTTCAAATCATCATACATTATTTTACTAGCAATTCACTCACGAGTTTGTGTTAGTAAAAATACATATATGCAGACTTGTTGATTATTCATTAGTTTCGGGAAAATAAATTTAAATGTTTTTATTTTAAGCCTTTCATTGTTTGTTTCATACAAGAGTTGAATTATTAAATTAGAAATTTTGAAAAAAAAAGTGTTTTGTAGTTTAGTTTCAAACGACATCTTTTTCAGTGATTTCACTAATCATCGAAATAATAATTAAAACATAAATTAAGTAATTTTGAAAAAAACTGGTAATAATCTTTTAAGGATGAAAATGAAGAAACGAATTTCTTTCTCGTACTTCTCCATTCGAATATGCATAATGGAGCGACCCCCGAGCTTCACTGACGAACGTTTCAAAAATACCTGAGTATGCCTAAGTTATAAATAGTTTTTAAAGTTTGATATAGATAGATCCAGACAAAACCAGGTGTCTTAATAATTATTACAAATATATAAATGTTTGGTTGATAAATGGAACACTGTATCCGTGATGTCGAGCCGTGCGGTGATCTGTGTCATCCTCGCTAGTTAGCGAATCGTGCACTGCGTTGCAACAGAGGCAAGCCGCCCCATGCGCCTGCGCCGCGACGCTTCGATAACGTACTGCGAAACTTTACACTTATAATGATCCTTATGAGTTCACGATATTCGGAGTCGTTACTCTTGTGTCTCAGATCACATAACGTTGTATTTATGGTTATTACTGTCTCACACGCAGCTGTTAGGAGGACTCAACATGTAGTTGTATCTTTTGCGAACATTGTTGTGTTACATGTTTCTGACTATGATGAAGTAGGAAGTGTTTTGTAGGGGTATCAATTTGAACCTATGCTTATAGTAAAAAGTATAACTTATTGTTCATATAACACGCTGCTCTTCGCTGTACTGGCCCCCAATTTTCAGACCCGTAGTCTCCAAATCTCTAAAAACCGGCAACGCACTTGTGATTCCTTTGGCGTTCCTTATCGGTCGTTTATCTATAGGTATGTATAGGCAATGCAGATAGTTAACACAAGTTCATTTTTAATAAAAGTGTAGATCAAGGGGTTTTCCCGGATTTAATGAAACATAGTAAAGTAGTTCCATTATTTAAATCAGGCGATAGTACAGAACCTAATAACTATAGGCCGGTCTCTATTTTGCCAGTGCTCAGTAAAGTGTTCGAAAGGTTGATGCTTACTCAAATGCTGCGTCACTTTAACACGAATTCTATTTTCCATGACCATCAATACGGATTCACCAAAGGACGTTGCACTACGGACGCAGGAGTATCACTTATAAAACAAGTTTTCAACTCGTGGGAAAAAGCACAGGATGCCATCGGAATATTTTGCGACCTTTCAAAGGCATTCGACTGTGTTGAGCACGAGACGCTGTTACTGAAGCTAGAACACTACGGCATTCGGGGGGTATCCCTAGATTTATTGAAATCATACCTTCAAGAAAGAAAAATTAAAGTACAAGTCAACAAAGTTAACTCACTGGGTGCTAGCGTATCTATGGGCGTACCGCAGGGCTCAATATTAGGTCCTTTTCTATTTTTAGTTTATGTGAATGACCTGCCCCATTTGTTCCAAAATGAACCGCATATGGTATTGTTCGCTGATGACACTTCATTGATTTTTAAAATAAATAGACGAACAAACAAGTATGACGAAGTTAATAATGCCTTAATGAAGGTTCAAAATTGGTTTACAATAAACAACTTATTACTAAATGATAAAAAGACTAAATGCATTAGATTTATTTTACCAAATGTTAAAAGTAACGTATGTGATGATATATTATTAAATGATCAGAAACTAGAATTTGTAAAAGAGACTACTTTTCTGGGGATCACTGTAGATGAGAAGTTGCAATGGGGGCCCCACATCAGGTCTCTAGCAGGACGATTGAGCTCTGCAGCTTATGCTGTCTGGAAGATCCGTCAGCTAACCGATGTAGGCACGGCAAGACTAGTTTACTTTAGCTACTTTCATAGCATCATGTCGTATGGAATTCTGTTGTGGGGACAGGCATCCGACGTTGAGTCTATCTTTATCTTGCAAAAGCGTGCCGTCAGAGCTATATATAACTTAGGTCGTCGCGAATCTCTCAGAGAAAAGTTTAAGGAGATCAACATTCTGACCGTACCGAGTCAATTTATTTATGAAAACATTATGTATGTTAGGAAAAACCTACACTTATTTGTAAAGGTATCTGACAAACATGATTATCATACTAGACATAGGAATAGATTGAGTCAGCCCTTATTTAGATTGGCAAAAGTGCATAAGTCATTTCTGGGTTTCTGTGTTAAATGTTATAATAAAATCCCAGTTGAAATTCAAAATCTAAATGAAAGCAAATTCAAATTATGTATAAAGAAACATTTATGTAAACTAGCATACTACAAACTAAATGATTATATACAAGATAAAAATGCTTGGAGGCTAGCTGGTCCTACTCCACAGGATGTTTAGAGGAATTTTTGATTTTAGTTATGAATTTGTACACTATGTTGTTAATTGTTGATGATCTTCTAAGTTTTTGTAAATGTGAGTGCCCTGTAACCTATTATAATTAAGTAAGACTTGTAGAATATAGGTACTTGTGTCGGCTGGGAGCTGTCATGCTCACTCAGAGGTCTCATTGGCGGTGGCACGGGCACTGGATCGCCCAATTCCTTATAATATGGTTGAGTTGGGCGGTGCTGGTGTACGTGTCATGTTCGTGAACGGGCGCCGCCTATTGGGACTGGTCAGCTCCAGGCTGTGTATTATGTTGTCCTTGAGGTTCACTTCTTTTTCGTACTTTTTGCCTGAACATTAGTGTTACATTGTTCTCACATATCAGAACCGACTAAATGATGTAACAAAGAAATGTATTGTAAAATTGATTGAAAAAGAGTAACCATGGAGTTTCTTGCTCGTTCTTCTCCATAGGAATCTACACTTTGGGACGAGCAAATAGCTTCACTAGAGGACAGACGGACAGACTGACACGCTTAATTTTAAAGCTCTTGTTATATACTTTTTTCCTTTTTTGCTTGCTTGACGTTCAAAAGTGCCTACTGTGGTCTAATTGAAATAAATGATTTTTGACTTGACTTTGACTTTTGACTCAAGTCAAAACTCATTTATATACTTATCCACAAAAAAATATTCTTCAAATAATTTCTGATAAATAGAGAGGTTTTTTTTATTATTCACGTATGAAATAGTAGGCTAAAGCTAGTATGTAACTACTTAAATTATATACCAACATCTTAAACCTTCACGTGATTACTGATTCAGTAGCAGGCTTTATATCTAATGAATATGGACTATGGACTTATATGGCTATTGGATACTGCCAGCTTGTTTCATAGATAATGGCATAGGATGCTCCGTTGCAGAGATGTTCAACATAATAAAAACTTTCAAATTAAATAATTTTTTTAATAGGATTGAACTTAAATGTTATTCTATCTTCTCCATTCCAATCTACAATTTGGAATGAGAACCTAGCTTCACTGACGATCATACTGACTACTTTTCTATTTTGACGTTTCAAAAGTACCTATTTATGGTTTAGTTGGAATAAATGATTTTGAATTTGACTTGGAATGTACTTTATGTACTTTATATGTTGTGGTAAATCGGAGGATATAACGTTTCTGATGCATGAGGGCGCGGTTTTGGAACCTTACAATTACCAATGTGATTTTTTTCTTAAATGTACTTTCTATGATTTCATTAAGATACCACTGACAAAGGTAGGTACGGGGAAGACAAACATCATGATAAAACCTGGACTCATAATTTTTAATTGTAAATTTTGTATCGGCAATCCGCCTCGAGCAAGCTTGGTTAATACTCAAAACGTTTACGTGTAGGAAGAGGCTTTTACACAAATTGCTCACCAGTGGGCACTTATAGGCTGGTGATAATGATGATGATGATGATAATTATTTTGCATGTCCTGAATATTAGCAACCAGGACCGATAAGCTAGGATAGATAAGCTTGATGTCATCCCAACAAAATGTTTATTTTTTGGAGAAAATATCTTAGTATTTACCAAGAGAAAATGTTCTGAGCAATATTTTGTACACATAAAAACAAGCGAGCATCGTATCTTTCCATGTATAATGGCCATCTTTATTTTTTATATAGCAACATCAATCTCTTGGATTGATGCCTGATGGGGATGTCACCAGGTCAACTTCAACATAATTAAACCAGTTGTCAACTCCTCTATTACAAAATGACACTCAAAATATCTCTCCTATTTCATTAATAATAATATATTAAGACTATTTTGGCTTTAACGAAGCTATAACAATAGCATTCTGAAGTCAACGAAGGCTATAAACTAATCTTCTATGCCTACATATTTGAAACAGTTTTGCGCCGTGGTTTCAGCTGCTGGTTTTAATCCAACTTGGAGGAATCGGCACTATTTCCAATATCAAAAATTTTCAAAATAAATAGACGACATTTTTTCTCTTCATTAAATTAAAATCAACATTGACATGATCCTTACCATTTTAGGAACAAGCGATCTTTGGACAATAAGTAAATGGTATTTGTTTCCGTTATTTCCTTTCTGGGAACAGCAGTGAACAATAGGTACTAGCACAGCGAGATTTTGTTTGAAAACTGTAATCTACAAGCTATCCTTAAGCATGGATATGGATATGGCAAGTCTCAGAATATCAGGAAGATTTAATTCAGTCATTTATTATATTAATATCACAGTAGAGACATACAAACACAAAATCTAATAACATTAGTGTCTTTATACTTAACTGAAATCAAATTAAAGCCACGAAATTCCCAAGAGCTGTGCATGTAAGCATTGCCTAATAAGCAGTCTAATATGATTCGTGAGTCACTAGCGGACTTACTGAGAATCGATGACGCTCATTGTTCATCATTATTAGCTATTCCTAATGCATAAATCCCACATCGTTATGGTGTAGTCTGGTACAATTGTGTTGCACTCTGTGTCAATATACACGAAAGTGGGTCAGCGAGACAGATTGATGACGTATGCTGGCATCGCATCGCTTCAAACCGACGACCCTTTGTCGAATGTCCGTACTGTTGTAGGTACACTTAAATAGATTGAACTGTCCTGCTATTTACTCTACGCATCTATGATGACGGTCGTGGTTGCCCGGAGGTTAAGGCTTCCGTTTCTCATGCAAGAGTGTTCGCAACCTGGTAAGTGCCAAAACGACTTTTTTCATGTCATCTTTTTTATGTCATTTGTTGGCAAACGAGCAGACGGATTACCTGGTAAGCAATCAGCGCCGCCCATGGACACCCGCAACGGAGGACTTACGAGCGCGTTACCAACCTTTAAGGGATTAGGTTTTTGGAGACTTAGGGATCGGGGGAGGGGATGGATTGGGCCTCCGGTAACCTCATTCACGCGGCGAATCACAACGCTGTGGTTGTTTCACGCCGGTTTTCTGTGAGGCCATGGTATTACTTCAGTCGAGCCGACCCATTCGTGCCGTAGCATGGCTCTCCCACATGGATCTACTCATAATTTTATTTCTAACTACAACTATGAAATTGCTAATCTCTCTGATTGAAAACGAGGCCTTCGCGGTGCAGTAAGTTCGTATAGACTGATGATGACGATATGTGATGTCATGTTTGAAGGTGTAAAAGCATGATGCTTCATTCGTTATCAAGCGAAGAAACATAGCATTTTCACTGTTCTATTCCACCGAACAAATAAAGAGCACCATATAATGCGTATGCAACCCTAATTTTTGTTATCTTCTATGAGAAATAGTTCAATGCCATGTTGAACAACAATTTCTGTCTAAGCATAGCAAATACAATAATCTCTTTAGCCCGAGCAGGATTTAGCTCAATCCCCGAAGTCCGCAGGGTCCCCCGCAGCGGCTAAGGCGTAAAGAGGATAGTTGCCACTCCGCATCTACCTTTGCAAGCATATCTGCTTCACAGGAAGAGTCGGCTTCCGATTGTCACTACAGCCGATCGCTGCCCACAAGAATGACTAGACCTTTCAAAGAAAAATTAAACTAACTCATCGTAGTCGATTAAAAGAATAGGGTATACATAATCAAATAAAAAAAGTTTTGAAAATATCAATATAATCTCATCTATATTTACATTTCACTACCTAGCAAAAACGGCACAACTTTTATTTGTAACCAATAAATGTTATACATTCTTGTGGTAACATTAATATACATAGTCAAATACTGTTACAATTAAAAATAAACAAAATATTACATTTGAATTTGGAATCTCACATTTTTATATAATTTTTCATTGTGTTTTCTTATTTTGGCGCAAATAAATTGTTCAATATTTTGCGATATTAATATGGACTGGGGTGATAAAGAGAACCGAATGTGATTGCATTACACAAAGTGGGTATGGAGCCAAATGCAATTTTTAAAACTTTCCACACGCTTGGCATTAGTCAAATGTTTGTGTACCGGGCTATTAATAGGTACAATGAGACCTCCTCTGTTTGTGACAGAAAAAGATCTGGCCGTCCACGTAGTGTTCGTACGAAAAAGGTGGTCAAAGCAGTAAGGGAAAGAATTCGAAGAAATCCTGTTCGAAAGCAAAAGATTTTATCTCGGGAGAAGAAGATAGCACCTAGAACCATGTCGCGTATTTTAAAAGACGACTTAGGACTTGCAGCCTATAAGAGACGCACTGAACATTTTTTAAATGATATTTTAATTTTTTTGCAGTACGCAAAGGGAGATCACAGAAAAATTTTGTTTACGGATGAAAAAATTTTTACAATTAAACAACATTTTAACAAACAAAATGACCGTGTTTATGCTCAAAGCTCTAAGGAAACTTCTCAATTAGTCGACAGAGTGCAACGTGGGCATTATCCGACTTCAGTGATGGTTTGGTGGGGTGTTAGCTATGAAGGAGTGACTGAGCCATACTTTTGCGAAAAAGGTACCAAAACATCGGCACAAGTGTATCAAAATACCATTCTTGAGAAGGTAGTTAAGCCCCTTAACAACACCATGTTCAATAACCAACAATGTTCCTTCCAGCAAGACTCGGCGCCGGGTCATAAAGCTCGGTCCACGCAGTCATGGTTGGAAACGAACGTTTCCAACTTCATCATAGCTGAAGACTGGCCGTCGTCTAGTCACGATCTTAATCCGCTGGATTATGATTTATGGTCAGTTTTAGAGAGTAGGGCTTGCTCTAAACGGCATGATAATTTGGACTCCCTAAAACAATCCATACGATTGGCAGTGAAGAATTTTCCCATGGAAAGAGTGCGTGCTTCTATTGATAACTGGCCTCAACGTTTAAAGGACTGTATTGCGGCCAATGGAAACCACTTTAAAAAAGCTTTTTATGTTTTAAATTGTTTTATATTTATGTATTAAACTTACATAGTGTAAAAGTAATAAATGTTATTTGCAATAGAAAAAATTTTTTTTTTATTTGTTACAGTATTTATGGCTAGACTAGTTATATATAATCTAGTAATGGAAAAATCTATATAGTCCGCCATTAACGATACAATATTAGACAACGAATTCTTTTTGTTTCGTCGTAGGTACCTTTATGAAACTACTTTTCATAGCCACGTCATGCAATATTTCAAATGACTACCCCAAGGTAGACTGAAAGAGAATCCCAAAGGCTTTAAGTCCACCTATGTAATCTCTGAGTGCACGCATTCAGAAATAAAAATATCAATGAAAATATTACATAACAAGAATACGTGTCTAATTTCCTAATATAAATGACGGAAATTTAAAAAAATGACATTATCCCAGTTGTGCCAATCCATATTATATTAATTATAGAAATGGTAACTAAATGGTGTAACTCAAATACAAACATAATTTATGTGTGTAAGAATGAATAAGAAAATAATAAAATGTGTAATGAGTTTTTTAAACATATTGGCTTGGGAATACTGGTTGGTTAGACAAAATTAATAGGCACAGCAAAGCTTTTTAATAATAAAAAAAAGATTTTAAAGAAAATTATAAACTTAATTTATGGTTTAAGCCAATATTAGGATAATGTTTTTTAAATTAATTCAGAAAGTAACATGAATGTTTCGAAACCATTTTCTGTACTAAGAAATTATGTTAACACCGACCCTTAGTACTTGGAAAAATTATAATTAGTACAAACATTGTACTTGAGGGGAAAAATAAATAACTTTTTATGTAGATAAAACCTTTTAGTGTTCCATCAAATGTTGAATAAGTTTTAACAGAAAGCAACAATTTGAAATCCAAAAAGTTACAAAAAAATAGGTTAGTAGGTATATGTATATTGCAAACAAAAATGTACACAATACTAAATATTTTTAATATTTTTTTCTATATTAGTTATTTTCTAATTGTAAGGATACCTCATCTATCACAGTTGCGAAGGTAATAAGCTATTCTTAAACTAAATAATTTTATACAATTTATTATAATTATTACTTCGTATACGTATTTATTTTCTTACAATTATTATAATTTTTGAATAGTACGTGTGTTGCATGCCATACTTATTAAATTTATTGAATACAGTCTATAGAGTCCCGTTGTAACGATAATCTAGTAGAGCTATTCAAAATTATTTACGCGTGAAAGAGCCTAGCTTCGGCACAAATGGGTCGGCTCGACCGGAGTGACACCACGGCCTCACAGAAAACCGGCGTGAAACAATCACAGCGTTGTGTTTCGCCGTGTGAGTGAGGTTACCGAAGGCCCAATACCTCGCCCTCCCCCCAATCCTTAAATATCTGAAACCCTTATTTATAAAAGGCCGGCAATGCACTCGTAACTCCTTTGGTGTTGCGGGTGTCCATGGGCGACGCTGATTGCTTACCATCAGGTAATCCGTCTGCTCGTTTGACCAGCTATATCCACCATAAAAAAATTACGTGAAAGTAAGTAGGAAAATCGCTACTTTCAATAAATTTATTAAGTATTTATACATATATTATTATTGCAACACAATTTTATGATATATTTATTAATTATTAGGTACCTACATATTAATTATGTTATTACAAATAGGTAGGTAGGTACACTGAATTGGTGGCTATGTGGAATATTTAATACTAGTATGAACTTGTACAAGTACTTGTGTTGATTTTCACGCGTAAAATATCATAGGTGTTAAAAAGGTACCAAAATGTCAGTACCTAATATCTACCTAACTATTATTAGGTAGTACCTACCTAAATGTAATTATTTTATTTTTATATCGCTTATTTTAGTATGGCCACATTTTAAAATATAAGTAAACAGAGATTAACAAAAAAATAGTATTCCATTAAATAAATGTTACAATACAAACAAATGTAATTAGTGTTTATTTTTGAAGGTAAATATTATTTTTAAAACTATGACGGCATTTATTGCAATAAAATAAATCATACGTTATTTTTTTATATACCTAGATATTTGATTTATTATCAATATAAATAATTCTTTAATTTAAAACGATGATGTTAAATTGCTAGTAGTCGCTATTATAGTTACTGTAATTAGCATTAGCAAAACGCTCCAAAGATCATTGCTATTTTTTTTTCGAAGGCGCATTCACCAATTTAATACTACTACATGATTTTTATGTAATACTAGCAGACCAGCCACGCGTTGCTGTGGCTAAGGTAAATAATATTGTGACTATAAATTGAGATATAAGGTATTCTATCTTTCAAGTTGCATCAAAATGCACTCTGAATGTAAATCAATTTTAAAATCGGTTTAGTAGTTTAAGAGTTCATCGCGGACTAACACGTGACACGAAATTTTTATATACATAAGTATTAAGATATCGCTAATTTGTATAAAGTATAATCGGTAGAATATTGATTGATTTTAGCTAGATAGGAATTAAGGTTTATGCGTCTAAAATATGTTCTCAAAAGAATTTCTAAAAAAGCGTTTTCTTCTTTAAATACATTAATTACCAAAACAGAATAGGTAGTAATGTACAATAATCATGAAGTTTCAAAACTTGGCAAGCTATGAAGGTACCTACAAAAGATTTTAACCTAAAACAGCAAAACCTATTTATTCACAAGTGGCAGTACCTACCTAAAGTATTTTACATCTTAACCAAATTTATTCCATTTAGTCAAGAACTTTCGACAATTGTAAATGTCAGAATTGTTGAGTTTTCTAGGTAACATTTTTATAATATAATTTTAGGAAACCAATCAAGATATCGATGTTACACAAAAGATTAGGTATGTTTAGTAAGTATAACTATGAAGCATAGAACACTATTTACAAAAAACAAATAAAAATAATTAATCAACATACTTATTAAAATTTACACTAATATTAAGTGATAGGAAAATTCTGAGGATTTTTCATTAATATTTCCTGCCTATTTTTTACCCTTGTACGTTACCTTCCTTTAAAAAGATACGAATACATTATCAACTTTGTACTTTTGCGATAAAATAAAAAAATCAATTGACAATAAATATGAACTAGTTTGATGTAAGGTATGTAGGTACTGGCCTCTGTACAAAATAATTTCAAAAGTTTAAACTTTGCGACTTAACACATTCCAAAAGAAATCTTATTCTTATTAATTTAAAATCTAAAATACTGTTTGCATATTCACATTTTCCGTTTTCCCTTTTTTCTCGCCTCGGAAATGCTGTTCAATCTCCGCGAGGGATTTGCCTTTGGTCTCAGGGACCATGAAAAGCACGAAGAAGAAGGCGACAGCACAGAAACAGGAGTACAACCAGAATGTACCAGCTGATGTTAGTACCGCCTGTGAACAAACAAGATTTTTATTTTCATTTGTAGAAGGTAGGTGTCAAACTGAGGTGTCAAAATATCTTTATTTCATAACAGCAGCAGAACAAAAAGATTGAAACCACTTTTGGTCACGTTTGGTCAATGGCCGTAAACATTTTTTAACACGCTTTTATAAGTTTTGGTAATTTCTATAAGTACATACACGTTAGTTACATGGAGCTAATTATGTATGTAGCGGAATATATGAGCACGTTTTTTCTAAACGTCAGATCAACTTGAAACTGCATACTATCAGTGTCATAAGTGCATGGATGATTCTAAATCAAAATCGTTTGTACGGCGTTTCATCGCCTTAATTATATACCATGGACGACATAGATGGCGCTAGTATACTAGTGGTATTGTAAAATATACATTTATAGTTTTTATCAGATACAAAGTTATTAACTTAATAAATTTTTATACAAATTAATGCTACGATATTCCAAACCTTTTTAAAGCAAAGCACGCAATAACCAGGATTCGAACTCGGTAGCATAAAATTAACCGATGCCACAAGCCATTAGGCCATTACGTAACCTTGAAATGTATTGAAATTATCCTACTCTTTATTATATTGAAGTTGTTTAGCAACTATAACCCGATCATAAAATAATCTCAAAACAGTTGAGGGTAATTTAAAATTAACTGTATAAAAATTAAACCTTTTTGTTCAATCATAACATACTTTACTATCTTTGAGTGAGTTCAGTCACGATTTGTTTAACAAGTTTTTAATATTTATTTTTATTATGAATTTGCGTTCAAATGTTGATATGGCTACGAGGGCCCAAATAATAGCATTGCATAATCAAAGCTTAAATTATACTGGAATTTCTAGAGAAACTGGCTTAAACGTAAGTATTCTTATAAATGACCGTTTGTTATTTATTTTATTATCCATGGTTATCGATACATGAAAATAATAATTAATACACGTCCCTTACAGGTAAAGACTGCCACTTTATGGATATCTAAAGATGTTTCAAGAAGAGGGTTCATTGGAGCACCGTAGTGGATCTGGCAGAAGACGTGATATTGACTCAGACCAGTTTCAACTTATGGGGCAAGGTTATGAGGAAAATTACTGGAGCATTGTCATCTTCAGTGATGCAAACAGTGAAAACTACATAGATGTGCTGAAAGACGTCATAAAGATGTGCTAGTGATAACGTTCGTGCAGGACAATTGTCCTATGTGTAATGTTCCATAATTGTGCAAGTGTCTAGTCAGCAATCAGACATACGGATTATTCCTTGGCCAGCGAGATAGGAGAAATAGGATCGATAAAAATGGCGGCTACACTAGTTCTTAAAAGAAAAGACATTGTAGACTATAGGATAATTACAAGACCGGGGTAGCTATAATTTATTTAATTATAAATGTTCAAACTTAGTGTTAGTAGGATAAATTTATTGACTACTTTATAACCAGCGTCTGTTATACAGTAATGATTTTAATGTTTTACTAAATATGAGAAATAAAAATAAAAGCAATATTAATATTTACAGATGCTATTGATTGCAAAATAATAAATTATTTATTTATTAATTACTATGAATAATTCGTCCCATATCTAGTGAATGCTATATCCCGGTCTTAGAAATGTTATTGATTTAAGGTCTAGCTTCAATTTCTTCCTTGTTCTGGAACGAATACTTAAGCTATGGGCCTTTGTCATAACATGATGCACAAAATGAATCACTTTAGTCAATACTTTAATTAAATTTTATGGGGAGGTAAAATAATTGCAGAAGTAAGGTTGCATATTATATAGAATCGTATTATAACATTGTGTTTAAAACTAACTAATAAATGACTAGCACAACACAATTTTGATTTAAAATACTTATTAATCTTATAAAAAGTGTAATAAATAATGTGTCAGTTAGCTGAAAAGTTATTAGGTCAGGGTATACACTATATAAGAAAGAAATAAATATTATGTTTTAAGAAATAAATGTCTGAAATTATAATGTCACTAAAATAGTTTTATTTGTTATCCTTTATGAGAATTAAACTTAGTATTAGTCTTAATCTGTAAGAAAAATATGTTACTTTTACATTAATAGTTAGCACATATTATAAAAGTTATTTATATGTTTATATTTATTAATATAATTTTATTCTAAAATAATATATTTATTTATTTTTGTTATCTTTTATAAATATTAAATGTCAAAATATTTTATTTAGGTATATATTATTATTATTGATTTTATATAAAAAATATAAAAAAAAAACCATTGTTAAAAAACCTGAATTTAAAAATTATAACTCGGAATTGAACCGGTGCCCTTCGACTTCATTATACTATCATTCTTATTTATCCGAGCTACCGATCGCATTTTTAATGATATCGAAAATGCGGGTTAGTTTATAACTTTTATTATTGTCTATTATTAATTATTGACGCCATCTTTTAATTGGTTTGCTTGACTTGACTTAGATGGCGCTATATTAAGTGCTCGGAAATGTGAAAATTAACATAATTTATGTGTATTTCAATATAAATATATTATTGTTTCTTAATTATTATTTTAACCATTAAAAACCTTATTGTGTGCCTCTGCAGTGTAAAGTATTCAAGCTTTGCAGGGTTATTTTCATTTAAAAGCAGCGCCATCTAGTTATCAATGGTAGCGTTATGCAAAACCTGTCAGTCAATAGTCGACCTTAAGCTCTCCATGCATTTTTGTCACCCTTAGTACATCTCAAGGATAAATAATAATCAAATACCAGTTAACAGATTTCCATTATCCTTATTATATCTTAGCTACTCTAGTTTTCCTACTCCAGCTTCACATGGGTGTCCAGCTAACCCAATGTTAGTCATTTGTTTTATTAGCGAACCGGCAACGCATCCAAAGGGTTGCAAATTGAATATCTTTGCCTGTACGTGATGCCATGACCAAGGGAATTTCAGATTCATTATGAAAGAGGTTTTTTTTCGGTTAACGAACTAACAGATCACCTGATGGTAAACAATCACCATAGGTACAAGTCCACGGATACCCGCAACATTAGAGTTGTAGATTGATTGGAGATTGGAGACGGCAGGATTGAGCGTCCAGGATGCAACCACATTCCCATAGTGATATACAACGAGATAGTGAAAGTCAGCCACATTTAAAGATATATATATAGGTATATATATATATATCTAAGTATGTACCTATGTTGTATTTGTTGTCTCACTCACACGGTGAAACACAATGCAAGTCGGACACATTTAAAAATAAATGAAGGTAGGTACGTGTTGTATTTGTCGTTTAAGCCCTTGTTAATTCTACTTGACCTAACTATGAACTTAATTTTAAAGTACCTAAACTTTAAAATCACGTAATAACTAAAATGTATACAAAACTGTAGTTAGAAAATTATATTTCCAATATAAATTAACATTCATTGAAGTTGTGCGTTATTAAAACCAAACTACAACCAACATATGCATATAATAGTTATGAATATTCATTTTGTACAGTAATTACGCAACAATTATTACCAAAAATACATTATCATCGCAAAACAGTTACTGTACTCGGAAAGTAATTTGATTGCGCGGAAATCGGATCCAATAAAAATGTTTACATGCTTTATTTCTTCAATAAATACAATGCTTAAGGTAAATATATTATTTTAATAATTTATTACAGAACCTTGTTTATACATTGTTATACCTATAACTATTATTTATTAATCTCTTTTAAGTACTTTTTTTGTTTCATCATTAAAAGATCTCTTTTACGGTTTTAAATAATACTAGCTACTCCCGCGCGGTTTCACCCGCTCTGCTCCTACAGACCGTAATGTGATGTTTTATAGCCTCTAGCCTTTCTCGATTAATGGAATAAAAAAATTAAAAACACAAAAAGTATCTATTGATTAATTTGAACTAGTAGTTCCGGAGATAGCCGGTTCAAACAAATCATCACCATTCGGCCCAGGTCCACCCTCTCATAGATATAGGCGTAACCATTTTTCAGCTGGGTCTGTCTGGTCATAAGGTCTGTGCATCCCTCATCCATCACATTTATTACAATAAAATAAGTACTTATGCTTTTTTTGTTTTTTAAGCAGCTAGTTATCTACTATTATTACTTTGTTATGTTCTATTTGAGAAATAAGATGGCCACTAAAACTCAAGTACTCAACTGATCCTCGATTCCAAAGTTAAAAAGCTGGTAGGTACTATTATTTCATAGTTTTTTTTTGTTCATTCGTTCGAAGTTCAAATTCATTTGCACTAACAATATTTGACATGAAACCTTTTTACCAATATTCTATTGAATATAGTTTTTTACAGATTACACTGGACAGTACTCTAAAAAAACTAAATCAGTTACCTCTACATACATAATAGTTTTGAAGGGTTTATACAAATGAGAGCAGACAAAATTTTAGTTCCATTTATTGTGTAGTACCAGCGAGTTGAGTGACGTTGATCCTATGAGCCGATTTATATTTTATAGCCACTGCTGGCTGTACAGTCAAACGATACTGGACTACGTGTCGATTCACATAATAGACAAATATTTATATGGTTTACACGAACCCCTATTCCCAATGGACTTGCAGTGGAGATTTCTGGCTTATAGCACGAATAATATACGAAGATTTCCTTATTGCATTGTTGATCTCAAAGTTTTATTTGAAGTCAAAGGTCTTGAAATACTTACTCTATTAACAGCAGTAAGTTTAAAAATTTAGTTTATGATAGTAATGCACTTTGACTCGCTTGGGGGCCTCAAATTTCTGGTGGAATTCGTGGTGGCCTAGAGGTTACGCCTGTTTCTCTTGCATAAAGATGCGGGTTTTAAACGTGAGAAGTACGTACTTAAACATCATGAGGATATCTTGACTTGTACCTAATACCTAACAATAAGATTTACAATCGCCTATCCACCTTGCGCAAGCGTGGTGATAAATGCTCAAACTATTCTCCGTGTGCGAAGAGGTTTATGATGATGGCAAAGATAGATGTCTGTTTAGTTAACTAAGCAGGTTTTATGTAAATGGAACTACGTTTTTATTCTTACCTTTATTACTATTCCTATACCTGTATTACTTACCTTTGACTTTATTCTACTATTTTTTTTAATAATATTACTAAATCTGTTGTACACGAATACATGAAAAAGATTTCATTGAATTATTACTACTTTTAGGTACTTACATCAAGCACATGATACGATTTGATGACTGAGAACATTGACATTAAGTTCACTGCACTGGCCATCGCTGAGAGTTGGGAGCGGTACTGGGCTGGGAACAGCTCCCCCAATAGCAGGAATGGCAGGCCACCGAACCCAAGGGAGAAACCCAACATAAACACTACCAGGCTCACTATGGGAAGATACCTGGGAAAAAATCAAATCAAAAGAAATTAATATCATATTGAAATAAAATTAAACTTTGTTATCCCTTCTTTTGTTGTGCCCTAACAAGGTCCATTGTTTATACCTGTTGTGTTGTACCTAAGCCCTATATAGCAACCCTGCAACATTATGTTATGCAAATAAATAAATAGAATTCTTTTTTTAATAAATATAGGTAATTTTATCTGTCCGAATTTAAATAAAATAAATAAAATAAGGTAATAAAAAAAAGAATAAAATAAAGGTGTAAGAATAAATTACGAGTTTAAACTTTAGTTAAAACTTTACGAGTACCTAGATACATTTATGATTACCCTTACCCAAGCCACGCGGCCTCCTTCAATTGAAAATAGAAAGCAGCTCCCATAGATGCCATGGAAGCGCACATGATGGCTGCAGATATTAGCAGCAATGGTCTTCGGCCGGCACGGTCTACCAACATTGTACTGACTCCGTTGCTGAGGAGTTGTACCACTCCGACAATGATGGTAGCCGTCATTGCGTCTAATGTGCTGCCTGGAATTAAAGAATTAGATTACTCTGAGAAATGTTTTGACGTCGAAAACTAAAGCCGCGGTACAACAAACGTACAAGTGCTACAAGTAACGCCATCTCGTTTTGAACGATGGAACTAAAAAGTTGAGAATAGAGCTGCCGCTGCTTTTCTACCTACATTTTTGTAAAGTTTTCATGTGCTATTTAGCAGAAACTTTAACACATAGACGGTTAATTACCAAAAACATTTTGAATATGTAGGTACATATACACACCTGCATTCCTAAAGATTTCTACGGTGAAGAAAATAACAGCATCAATGCCACTGAACTGCTGGAACAAGAGCAAGGCAAACCCAATGATCATGGGCTTCATCACTACGGCAGAGAAGAACACCTTGCGGCTGAACAAGCTTGGAGGACCCGCTGGATCCTCAGCTTTCCTGCAAGATAAGCACTATTTTTAGAACTAAACATATTATGTGCCACTCTTAACTCAATGGCCATTACACTGGTTGCTTCAGATCTTTGTAAAGTAAACAGTCACAACTCCTCATACTGACTCGGAAATTATCCCTACTTACCATAATACAAAGTCGCTTTCTCTGTCCCTATATCCCGTGTATGCTTAAATCTTTAAAACTACGCAACGGAATTTGATGTGGTTTTTTTAAAAGAGTAATTAAAAAGGAATGTTTTGTATGTTTATTAACATCTATTCAATAATAGAGCATTGCACCCATACGAAGCCGCGGCGCTAAAGAATAATTGATCCTTGGTCATCAGCCCTAGTGATCATTTTTCGTGAGTGCGATGATTGATGGTGACAGTCAAACATCAATGTATATGTATTTTTTTCTAATTATTAAATTAAATACAATTAATTTGTATAATATATGCACCACAACATTTGTGGTACATTTAACTGTTTTTAGTTATGCACAGCTGAGTCGAAATGGGGAGACACATATCATGAATAATAAAATAAAATTCATTAATACATGATTATTTTTAAAAGTGTAAACAAAAAACGTTGTTCAAATGTCTCCTGTCCATTAGTGCTGTTAGTCCACGTGTATTTTTTGGGAGGGTGCAAAGCGATTACTTCGCGTAATAAGCAATTATTGCAAAGTCAATGTCAAGTTACTTGTAAGTTACTTTTGAACGTCAAATGAAGCAAGAGTCAGTTAGAAATCTTTTTTTTATGTAATAGGTCGGCAAACGAGCAGACGGATTACCTGTTGCTAAGGAATCAGCGCCGCCCATGGACAACATGGCAACAGAGGATTTACGAGTGCGTTGCCGACCTTTTGGGGATTAGGGATTTGGAGATTTAGGCATCGGGGGAAAGGAAGGATTGTAAAATCTAGTGGAAATATGGCCGCTCATAAACACCACCATAGGTATTATAAGTGGATCCTAGTCTCAGGGGGTAACAAGTTGTAGCTCGCCGCCCGAGCAGAACCAGACTCGAGCGTACGGAGACAAAGAGCCAATAGACCACCACAGACGGGGCCCTTTAGGGCTGATTTTCAGCCGGGGTTGCAGAACAAGCGGAATGGCGTACCGCGGCCTTGGCCTAGAGCAAAAGAATGCAGAAGGAACGAAGTGGTTTTTTAGTCAGTAACAGTCTCACACTCCCTCCCGCCCCTCCCTGGGCGAGAGAATTCATTTTAAGGTAATTTTCCCTCACAAAAAAAGGCGGGTCATAAGTGAACTTGGTCCTCGAATCACGATTCAAATTACTAACACTTTAAACAGTTTCGGCGTGTAACTGCGCTTGCATTGGAAAACTGTACCAAAGCGTAGCTATACCAACTATATAATCTATGTAGATATGTATATGTGTTTGTTTTGTATATTATATGTTTTTAAACAATACACACTATGTATTATACTAATAAAACAAAGTCGCTTTCTCTGTCCCTATATCCCTATTTATACATTAATCTTTAAAACTACGCAACGGTTTTTAACGCAAGTTTGATGCGGTTTTTTTTAATACATAGAGTCATTGAAGAGGATTGTTTATGTGTATAATGAATTAAAAAGTGGAGAAATTTTGTATCAGCATTGATCCCGCGCGAAAACAGGACGGGTAAAATTGCGTAAAATAAATTGCTGAAAAAAAGAGCAAACACCAGATTACGACCTTAAAATCATTTTTTCGTTATTATAAATAATTATAATTAGTTTCATTGAGATGACTCCCAGTTAATCGTTCTATTCCTTTTTCCTGTTTTCAACTATATATTACTATTAATTGCCTACTTAAAAAACTTGTTTGAAATCTGCCAATCATACCAATATCCGCTTTGACATGCAAATTATAATTTACTTAATTTGTTTTGTAAATCGTTGTTTAATTTTGCTTAATAATTATTATTTACAGTTTTCCCTGTTAGTTAAGTGGTAAGAACATACATATCCCAATAAAGGCAGCATAATATACAGGGTGTTATTATTACAATAACTTTTTGCATGGAACCAGTATCAATATCTCAAAATAAAATTTTCCTCATACAAATCGCAACAGCTGATTGATCATTTTGCACGGAGAATTAAAACTTTTTGAGTCTTCCCTATAGTTCTTAAAGAAAAAGTTGTTTTATTTGAGCACCAGAGACCAACAAAAGACCGGATGTCTTTGAATATTATGTCTCTCGTTCAAAATAATACCCTGTATAGTATGTACGACCTCATACTTTTTTTCTAATTCCTACAAAAGTAAGTAGGTATCGTTTATAAACATACATATTGTAATAAAATTGTTGAATTTGATTTGTTGTAACCTACTGTTTAAATTTCCTTACTAAACGGCGTAATCGTGTCCTTTTGCAACCGACGCACGTTAGAATAGGAAACCACGTTATCAGTAGCAATTACTACAAACCTCTGTCCTGTTTATCATCAAGGAGAAACCGCTTCGTCTTCTCTGGAACGCGGATGGCAGATTCACACTCTATTATATTCATAGTCTATCTCTATACATATACTCTATCAATTAAGATCTAGGTAGTTCGTATTATCATTAGAATCTAAAACTGAAAAGCTTTGGACCACGCTTCGGATTATTCGACTTCGATTCGCGACTCCGTTCACGTGGAATAGTGACGTCCTGTAGATTTTTGGTATAAAAACTATCCTATGTCCTTTCTCAAGTTCCAAACTATGTCTGTACCAAATTTCACAGAAATCGGATCAGTAGTTTAGGCGTGAAGAAAAGACAGACAGACAGAGTTACTTTCGCATTTATAATATTAGTTCGGATTTAAGTTTCGTCGCTTCATCTTTTTCGATTTCCACATACATACATATTTATAATCTATTTATTATGTCAACTTGTTCCATGCAGAAAAAGAGCGTAAGATTATTTCACGCGTGCAAATCCGTGACTAAAACCTAGTTTACTATAAGGACTAAATTACATGTGAGGTATGAATAAGGTAAGATGAACATGTGAGTGATGCTAATTCCATTGTTCTACCGGCCGTTATATCGTAGAACATAATTAACTTAGTTATATACCACAACGCCTCAGAAACTTTGACTGCAACTTTAGCGTAACTATTCGTGCTGTTTCTGTATGAAGACTAAAACTGACTTCGCTTGTATTTATTATAAAAATTATACGAAAGCCTAGGATCAACATAAAGCGATATTTATTACATTTCTGCGTTTGTAAGTAAATAAACTACTTTTTATTATCAGTGAGCTTGTTTAGATTTACATTTTAAACAGGATCCATAGCAAATTTATAAGACGTATTTTATCCTATGTTAAAATATGAATTCATTATAATGCGGATTGAAAGTCTGGTATAATACAAATCTAGGCAACTTAACCTTAGTAGTGCAGACAAAGCCGCCTGTAGAAGTTAGTAAAGCATAAATCGATTTAGCAATCTGTTACTGATTACTCTACGCAAACATACAACAGTATAAGCTCACTATGTTAAGAACGTATAAGTTCGTTGAATCTCAATATTCAGCCCAAAAGCAAACAAAATATGGCAAGGAAAGATAAACTGAGTCGTCATAGTCTACTTACTCTTGATTATCCTCCTTGACCGTAGCAGTCGCGCGTGCAGATAAGTGTAGCCATTTAATTGAAGCAGATGCATCTAAACCCTTTGATTGGAGCCACACTGGAGACTCCGGAAGAGGCAGTAGAACCACGAACAGTGCCACTGAAAATAACAAAGTAGGTCATTCTTTGAAACAAAAGAGGAAGAAGTATCCTATCCACCTTAGGTATATTAGATAAAAAAAATTATGATTGATATCCGAAACAAAGCTGCAATTAGGTACTCTTTGCAGACTAATAGAATGGAATTAAAAGAAGACGTTCAACAGATGGCGTGCTTGACGATAATCAGCTATTTAGTCTAATTGTTGTTGTTATCAAATAGCTGCTAGTTATTTAATAAAAGACTGACTTAACCATCCCCCTTGAGACTCAAACATTTCCGTCCTGTATCGTCAAAGAAATCAGGATAGTATGAATCATGAATATGAATGTAACGCAATGATAAATAGCGGACATAAACCCGACGTATGTATAAAATATGATTGTAATATTTACCGCAAAATACAGCCGAGAGGAACGCGAGGTACCTCCAGTAAAGCCAGCTGCCAGCGACGTATGAGATCAGGATCCCAAGGGACATAGAGAGGGTAGGCAGGGAGCCTAGTCGGCCACGGATCTCGGGATCGCAGCACTCACTTACCTAGAATATGAATGAGGAAAAAATTGTTACTGTATATTGTTGCGCTTGAATAGTTGGATGGATGTAGTAATTCTCCAAAATGGGTCAAGTTTTATGTGACAGGCCGGCAAACGAGTGGAAGTATTACCTGACGATAAGCAATAAGCGCCGCATATGTCTATCGCATATACCCACAACACCAGAAGAGTTATGATTGCATTGCAGTTGCCTTTTGGGGATTACGGTTCGTAGATTTTGGAATTGGGGAGGGATTAAAGGCAGGATTGGGCTTTCGGTAACCTCACGCATATTATGAAACACAACGCTGTGGTTTCAGTTGCTTTACGCCGATTTTCTATAAGGCCGTGGTATCAGTCGGGTCGAGCCGATCCATTCGTACCAAAGCATGATTCTCCCATACTTGTCTTAAGTATCTCTCGAAATTCTTAATTATCACATTCATTCTATGTAGTTCAATGTTTGGCAATGGGAACAATGATCTCACTGGTTTGTAACCTTTCTAAGTTTTAGAAAAAAAGGTAATTGAATGTACTCATATTCTGAGTATTGAATCCACGTAAAGTTTATATAACTTATGAAGATACCTAAGTATCTACTAACCTTTGTAAAAATTGTGAGGGCACTTGTTTTATGAAAACAAAGCATGCTTGTTCAACATTCTACTTATAACAATGATCCTAACACTGACGGAGGTCAGGGGAATTGTTCGACTGTATTAATGAATTAATTATATTTATGCAACTTATGACCTGTTTGCTGTTATTCGGTCCAGTGATCTTAATGTATTACTTCTTGTTCATTATAAACACGTGAACTTCAATTGCACGTGTTTGTAATACTTATACGATTATCGAGATAAACAGCGTGAAACAACGTTACGGTTGTGTTTCGTCGTGTGAGTAAGATTACCGGATCCGGATCATCCTCAATTTCCAAATTCAGTATACTTAAATCCTATTTTACTTTAAACGCCTTCGTCGCACTTGTATTAACTCCTTTCGCATCAAGAATGTTCTTAGGCATCGCGGATTCCTTACCATCGGGTTTTTCGTTTAAAGTTGACGTATCGCATAAAAATGTCTACCTATATGGAATAAGTGTATTTCCGGGGTCCTATATAGTTTTTAAAGTATTTGTCTGTTGTTGAAGCATTGCAAGATACAAACTGATTAGGTTAGCCAATAGTTTCTCAAATTAAAGTATAGTTAGATATTGCTTACAATATTGTATAATAAGTACATTTATGAATGTAGGTAAGCAAATTGAATAAGCCTGCCTACTTTTTACAATCAAAGATCAAACTGAAAACTATTTTTTCCTTTTGTTTAAAAACCAGCGCTGTATTGATATGATGAGAGAATGTTTAATATTATTCAAATCATGTGAACAAGTTTTTTATAACACAACTAGCCACTGCCGCGCGTTTTCAAGCGCTGCTATTTATCGCAGGGTGATTATTTAGCCTATATAGCAATCATGAACATTATAGATAGCTATCTATCAGTGGTAGAATTTTGGAAATTCGACTTTACTTACTTTAGCAGTTCCATAGATTACGGTATAGATAAAACTTACGTAAACTTGTGCTGTAGCCAAGACAAAGCCTACACCGACTCCTGTGATAATTCTACCCACTAATAGCAGTGGGTAGTACTTGGCAAAACCCAGGATCAGCCAGGCAGCCACCCAGATTGGTGACGTCAGCTGTAATGTGCGCTTGCGACCCAGGTGCTGCATCAGAGTTCCTGATATCATACTGCCCAGGAACGCACCAAGGGGAGGAATAGCACCTGTGGACAAATTATATGTTTACGTAGGAACAATAAAGGAAAAAGAAGTTCAAAAAAGATTATAGTTATCGTACCAATATTATGAACGTAATGGTTCATTAGGGTGGATGTTTAATAATTTGATGAATAAAAATGAAACAATAAAATAATGAATGTATTTTTGTAAGTCGACAATTAAACAGTACTTTTACACGTCAGTTATAATGAAAAAATAGATGAAATACATAGATAATGATTTGATGAAATTTTTTTGACACCTTAAGATAAAATTTTGGGCGCAATCAGATTAGTATTTTTTTTATGTAACAGTTGCGCAGAGAAGACGGATTACCTTATGGTAAGCAAAGCGCCGCCCATCTACACCCGTAATAACGGAAGAGTAACGAGTGCATTGCCGACCTTTTAGGGATTAGGGATTTGGAGATTTAGGGACTGTAGTTTGTAGGGATTATAATCTGGAATGACAAATGTGGTAATTTTTAACCCGGGAGTGGTGAAGGCCAGGTGGTGGTAGAAGCTAGCTTATCTTTTTTATTAAGAGGACTACCCTTGGATGCCTTATTTACATGTGTGTTTTATATAAATGCGAATATGTTTTGTATCTTCGTAAAACTACTTAAGTATTCGCTGAAACTAATCTTTGTCAACTTTAAAATGCGTCAATATTGTGCAATAAGTCGGTTTTTTAGATTTGTCTAATAAAATTGACTGCTACTTTGACATTTTAAACCAGGATAGGTACTGGTTATAACCGCCAAATAAAAAAAGCAAACACGCGTGTTTTAAGTCGAGAATAAATACTCAAATCACCATCCAGATTATTCTTATTTTGTAAAACAACAGCAATCTAATATTGAATAACTCTTCCCTATTCTCTTAAAGGACATAGGTACTTTTCAGTTTTATATAAAAAGTATAGCGTACCAAAAGATCAAGCAGGTTAGAAAGTCCAGATTGATAGACAACATTGATAGCCTACTGTATACATATAATGATATTTACATTTTACAATAGCTATTATTTCTATATCGAGCCAAATAACTGTGCAGACTATTCATATTTTAGGTTGGGCTTTTCTGTCTGTTACACACGAAACCGACGAAGAAAGAGGTTTAACATATTAAGGGCTGATTTTTCAATGGTTAGATAAAAGTTATTTGGGGAATAATTATAATGCTGTCGCGTCAGAATGTTCGTATAAGACAGTGACAGCAACAACTTTATTTCTCAGCTAACATTTATCTGACTATTGAAAAATCAGCCCTTAATTGATGGTTAATATTAATTACAAATGAATGACATACAGATAAATAACAGAAACCGTTCGTGGGTGAGCCATGTTTTGGCACGAATAGGTCGGCTCGACCGGAGTAATACCACGGCCTCACAGAAGACCGGCGTGAAACAACCACAGCGTTGTGTTTCGCCGTGTGAGTGAGGTTACCGGAGGCCCAATCGTTCCCCGCCCCCAATCCCTCCTCAATCCCTAAAATTCCAAATCCCTAATCCCTAAAAGGTAGGCAAAGCACTCGTAAATCCTCCGTTGCGGGTGTCGATGGGCGGCGCTGATTACTTACTGTTGTATTGTCTATGATTAGTATTACTAATCAGTGTTGCACTATTATTGTCTATGTCGTCATATCACTATAAAGAGGGTGGCCGAGCAAGTGTCGGCCATTGACAATGTAACTCTGGTGCAGTGAGCTGCAGGACTGTGTACTACCTAATTAAAGTCAAGTATCCAAGATCCAAGTCTTTCAATCATATTACATGGTGTCAGAAGTGGGATGAGAATCACAATAAATGTCTTAAGGGTTTAACTAGTTGGAGCTGTCTGTTTTTCTCATTTAGATGCATTTTCGGGTTTTTGGATGTTAAAATTAGATGAATATAGTTCTAAATTATGTACTTTTCAAACACCATTTGGTAGATATAAATATTTAAGGTTACCTTTTGGAATAAATGCATCATCAGAAAATTTCACTAACGGAATTCACGGAATTTAAAAATTTCTTACATGAATGGGACATAGAACATGTTGTTACTAGTCCATATCATGCACAGTCTAATGGTCAAGCTGAAAGTTCAGTTAAAATTGACAAAAATATGTTGAAAAAATGTAAAGAAAACTCGTCTGATCCTTATATAGCTTTGTTGCAATATAGAAACACACCTAAGAATAATTTACCGTCCCCAGCTCAACTCTTAATGTCTAGGAATTTAAGAGACAATGTCCCTAAGTCGTATAAGAAATTAAAACCAAAGGTAGTAACATTTAAAGATTACAAAGAATGTGTAACTAAGAATAATGATTGTAAGTCTAAATATTATAATAGAAGTGCTAAGCCTTTACCATTGTTATATCCCAATGATCATGTCTACTTCAAAAGACAACCTAGTTGTAATTGGGAACAGGCTATTGTCAAGCAAAGGCTAGCAAATAATAGGTCATATGTCGTTGAGGATGTCAATGGAGTTAGGTATAGGAGAAATAGGATTCACTTAAGGCATAAGTTCTCTCCTATGCTATCCAACTCATCGTCGTCGTCGTCTTTGTCATCGCAAGGGAGAGAGGATGGTGACAGTCAGAAGGCTGGACCTCAAGAACTCTCATCTCGATCCTCAAGTAGTCAATTTGTTACACGTTCAGGTCGTATTGTAAAGCCCACAAGAAGGCTAATAGAAGAAATAGATTAAGTAAATTTTGTAATCTTATATGTTGTAAATTAAGTACCTAGTCAAGTTATACTATAAGTCGTTTATAATATTGTCAAGTAGTCATAGTGATAAGTCTGTTTTGTAAAGGGTTAATTTAAACTTAACAAGGGGGATGTTGTATTGTCTATGATTAGTATTACTAATCAGTGTTGCACTATTATTGTCTATGTCGTCATATCACTATAAAGAGGGTGGCCGAGCAAGTGTCGGCCATTGACAATGTAACTCTGGTGCAGTGAGCTGCAGGACTGTGTACTACCTAATTAAAGTCAAGTATCCAAGATCCAAGTCTTTCAATCATATTACACTTACCATCAGGTAATCCGTATGCTCGTTTGTCGACCAATTACATAAAAATAAAAAAAAATAAAAAATCGCTGCATTACTTTTACAGTTTATAAATATCTGATATTACGGTAAAAAATAACAACAATTGATAATATGTATACGTACGTTATGTAAATATACTTGCGGGTTCCAACGAAAAACGAGAAGCGGGTTTTCGCAGAAAATTCACATCACATGTTTGATACGCAAAAGCAAATATGGAATCAGGAGAACAACAATACACTTTTACTACAAAAGATTTGGACACACGTAAATGTGTATTTTTATAATATAACATGAATGAATTTATTTCCCGAAATACCTTGTAGGTAGTTTCCTGATGTGGATTCCATATAATCGTGATTTTTATTGACGAACATCTACGTCATCTATAAAAATATATTAATATAAATATAGTAAACAAATATGCAATATAGTAAACTAGAAGTCTAATCAACATTTTTTCCCAAAAAATCTAGTCTTAAGAGAAAAACTACTTAATTAACTAACAATATGTAAAACATAGGCTCAAAATCTACAATTCAAATAAATCGTGATAAAATCCTTTTTTCGTTTTATTCCTTTTTAGTCCATTGATCTGGTTATCATTTTAGAACACTATCAGTTTTTTACATTTTAATACACACTATGAGCCGCCATTTTCCAAGATGGCGGTGCGAGTGGCGCACATACTAAGAAGTGTTAAAATAAGAGGTTTGTAAAAATCACATTAAAATCTATAAAATTGCCAACATCAAAAGTTCAGAAAATTCCCATTATGAAAATGACCAAATGACTGCATTGTACTTAATCTATTATAGACCTAACAATCTATTATTGACCTAACATTTCGTCATTCAATTATGGACTGGATTGATCGACCATTGATCGATCATTCAAAAATAACATAGGCCTTTCTATCTAGTACTAACGTACTATTTTGCATAAATCTATTAGTTTTTTCTGAACACAACAGGTTATTCCACATAACATATGTACCAGAAAACTGATAAATATAAAACACTCACTGAGATGTTTAAAGTCATAGTAAAATTATTCTTTTGTTTCGAAATAATACCTACTTCATCCAAATATTCCTGCATTACTTTCATTTTGCGGACATAGGAGGCTAATACTAAGACTACATATGTATATCCAAACTATCCTAACTAATCCAAACCAACATTATAAATGCAAAAGTAACTCTGTCTGTCTGCCTTTTCTTCACGCCTAAACTACTGAACAGACATAGTTTGGAACTTGAAAAAGGACATAGGAGAGTCTTTATACCAAAAATCTGCAGGAAGTCAATATTACACGCGAACCGAGTCGCGGGGAAAAGCTAGTCTATCTAATATTTTCTTTAAAACAAAATGTATTATGTTCAAGCGATGCAATAACGCAATCATCTACAAACAAAACGGAATGAACTCTATTAAGAAGTAAATTACTGCCAATAGCTAGGTACATAGTCACCAGTAGTAACAGCAGTGCAAAAATACGACCATCCATTATGATTGTTCCTAAAATTAGTCCACCCACGTTTTGTCGTGCTCGTGTTTACTACTCTAGCTATATATTACTTACTTCACCAACTGAGTACACAAACCAACTATTCCTTATACTATTATACGAATTTATACCGTACCTTGAGAATTTGAAACAACTTCCAGGTTACATGTTAAAAAGATGACTATCAAAAATACCTAATATACATACCTTTCGAAGCCAGTCTAGGTCCACACATTAAGTGACCTAACAACATCACATCACATCATTAGCCTTTAAATCATCAAAGCGGATTGGCGATGTCAAAATTATAAGTCCAGGGTTCCTTTTCCGCGCGCGCCTCAAAGAGCAAATAGACACCACCACACATGCCACAGACGGGGCCCTATAGAGCCGATGTTCAGCCGGGGTTGCGGGGTAAGCGCAATGAGGCACCGCGACCTCGGCCCAGAGCAGGAGAAGAAACAGGGAGGTTTTTAGTCAGTAAGAGTCTGACACTCCCTCCCGGCCGACCCTGGGAGGGAGAAGTCATTTGATGATTTTCCCCTCACCAAAAAAAAGTGTTCCTCACGATGTTTTCCTTTACCGTATGTCAGTGGTGTGAAAATAATCTTAAAAAGTAGGTATATAACTCGTAAAAAGTTAAATTGGTATTTGCACGGTTTCGAAACCGCACTGTACACACTCATGTATAAAATGCGGGCACCTTAACCTCTGGGCTTCCACGACTACAAACTAAAAATAATAGTGTTTAGCTCCGCCTTCTTCGAGATATCGTAGTCAACAAAGGACTCCTATTTTTTCGCCTTACCCGAGTCTGGTCTCTAGTTTTCTTCTCCGTCCGGATGACAACATACACATATGATTAAACTTACACAAAAGATAAAAGATCCTCACCCATCCATGATTTCTGTTCACTGCTCTGTATTATTTCTGGATCATTGGCTTCAATGGACGGTATTGCGGAAGCGGAGTAACCCCTCACTAGTCCTATGATCAGGAACGACAGCGATGCGCCAAACGTCAGCCATAACTGGAATGAAGATAGATTTTAATTTAGGAACTTTGACCTTAAACCACAACTTTAAGTGGTTTCATGAGCTGGAAGGTAGATGAGAAAAAAATATTAACTCACAATTTTAGATTCAGTTTTTTGCCATAATCACTACAAAGTTTAAAACAAAGTCTCTTTCTCTTTCCTTATATATCCCTATGTATGATTAAATCTTGAAAACTACGCAACGAATTTTGATTCATTTTTTAAACAGATTGATTGAAGAGTAAGTTTTATTATGTATAGTGAAAAAAAATGTATCAGCATGTGTGAAATGACTTAAAAATTACTGAGAAATAAGAAGGAACCTACTTTTAATGTCTAAACTCCATGTAGGTACCTAATTATTGCTAATCTATTTGTTTCAAATCGAAAACTCAGTTATAGTACTTTACTTCACTGTGAAATCGCGCCAAAATCCCTTGCCATTGTAAACATTCGTTTGTATTGATCACTGCAGTTGACGATTAATTTTACCTGACAAAAAAATGTCATGAGGATTATCCCTTTGTTTGCGTAGCCTTTGACGGGAAATATGATGTGAAAAATTCTGAATGGTACCATGGGTGTTTTTAAATAACTCAAACTATTATTTTAATAATTATTTTTGTTAGTCTAGCCATGTTTCTGCAGGCTTCTGTAATAAGGCTGAAGCCGAATAGTTGACTGTCTATGAGGATAACATAATTTCGTATTGAATTACTATTATTTCAATAAACTTTACAACCGCATTACCAAATACCAAGATCAAAAATACACAAATAGCAAAATACCTTGTTCTTACAATAACATTTTTACTCGCCATTAAACCTGAATCCTTGTACGTAGTAATCGCACGATAAATCTTTTATTTTTAATTCTAGCAACGAGACTGTATCAAAAGATTAACAAGACGAGTTTCCTTGAAAATTACAGTATAAAATTAATTTATAGAGAGAACATCGCCCTATTAATCCTTTTCCAAGAGCAGAAACCTTACAGCAAACCTAGACTCAAAGCGGCTCCTGAGAATTTACATAATTGAAAATCCTACGAAGAAAATGTTAAAACCAATCGAGGTAATTCAAAGTAGAACAAAATGTCCAATTTTCACCAGTTATGTGTCAAATTTTAAATGTGGTTAGGTTGTAACATCCATCTTATTTTTAGGTCGACCAACGAGCTAACTTCTTTGGGCTCCCAAAATATCAGAGCGATACCTTAGTGATTCCAAAACCGGCATGCAGTGCCTTTATAAGCTACAAGACACAAGGGCGCTGCCGGCCTTTTGGGCATTAGTGATTCAGGAATTGGAGATAGGAGAACAGCTTAGAGATAGGAAGTCGGTTGGGAATCCGGTAGCCGGTTATAAACATAAGGTTGTTTCTGTTTGACACCGGTTTTGGAATCACTAAGGTTATAAGACCCATACTATTCGTGAAGAAGCTTAAACTTAGACAGTTCTAGGTTTAATAAAGTCAAACAACATTTCAACAAAACCGAATGTCAAGACTTTTGATGCAGCAGAATCTGCGATCTTTAAAAAATGCAAAAAAAGCATTTTATAGAACAAGGAACCTAACTCATTGTACAGTATTACTTGTATACCGTACACGGTAGTTTCCAGTTAAAATAACCACCGGTACATTACATAACTTGTTTAATAAATTGATCCATTTGGCATTCATGTCGCTATTTTTGTATTATATACAATTGGGTGCATCTGGCCGTGGCGTGACCGACGGAAGAGGGCCATCACGCCACGTGATTGCGTTTAAAACGATTCACGTGTACCAGCATCTGTATCACTCGCGTGACAACCTTTCACGTCGGGATTTACACTTTATTTTAAACAATGGACCGCTTTATTATCCTGTGATGTGTTCCATAGCTTACACAGCTTGTTAGTTGATCTTTTGTTCGATTTTTTATTTAAAATTACGAGTAGAAATTTTATTAAGTATTAGAAATACTCCTAGCTAGATTTTTTTAAAGAAAATACGATACGATAATACTACGTATCGAATAGACGAGAATTGAATAGAATTTTATGTGATAGGTCGGCAAACGAGCAGACGGATTAACTGGTAAGCAATCGCACCCGCAACACCTAAGAAGTAACGTGTGCGTTGCCGGTCTTTTGGGAATTAGGGTTTCGATGATTTAGGCATTGGGGTAGTGAAAGAAGGATTCGGTAACCTGACCCACACGGCGAAACACAACACCGGTATAATCTGTGATACCGGAGTGATATCACTCTGGGGTTTTTTTTTATATATGTCATATCATCACATCTATGACATTCGTTTTAGAACATCAATTTTTAGATAACACAAAAAAAGTTCTATGTAAGAATAAAAGTAATGCAAGGACGAAAAAGTATTATAGCTAGGTTTTCCGGTGCTATTACATACTTAAATGTGACTATTGCAATTTAGGTACTAAAGTATTAGTTAAGTGACTACTACAGATTGAAATCAAGATACATGTTGTATCTAATATTTTTTCAATTATATTATTGTATGTAGGTATATACTTCCTTATTTTCGCTGATCAAAAGATAAGGTACTTATATAATTACTGATAAAATCTATATTGGACGAAAGATCGAAAAGTCAATTTTCCTATTACCTGCAGCAAAAAGCAGCAAGTGAGATCTAGGGATCTAGGGAAAAATATATTTTTTGTTTTGCAAAAAATACCTCCAAGATTCGGTATAACTAATACTTAACCTTATTATGTAGCAAAACTTCTTTGGAGAGCCATGCTGCGGCACAAATGGGTCGACACTCGTCTGGAGTGATACAACGGCCTTACAAAAAACCGGCATGAAACAAGCACATCGCCCAATCCTTCTACTCCTATCTACAGTCCCTAAATCCCCAAATCCCTAATTCCTAAAAGGTCGGCAACGCACTTGTAACTCCTCCGTTGCGGGGGTGTCCATGGGCAGCGCCGATTGCTTACCATCAGGTACTTAATCCGTCTGCTTGCTTTTCCTACTATCACATAAAATTTTACATTGGTCAAGAGAATTTAAATAATAAAACATGATTCCTTAATAACCCATTGATTTCTTAATATAGATAACCGTGGTATGTTAATATACCAATTGCAAAACTATGTGCAAGCACGTAGCATTGGGTCAAAGAGCACCTCTTCAAGGCTGCACATGGTTGAATCTTACAGATAATTTCTAAATACACCATCAGACATTAATATTTTGTGGTAAAGGTGTAGTTAGCCTAATGGTTGAAACGATAAACAACAACATAGGTACAATTTGCTAGCATTGCATAATAACAATATGTACACTTACTTATACACAATAAAAAAAAAAAAAAAGAAACTACACAGAAGTATGCATATGAGCAAAATAATTGTTATAACACAAATAAAAGCAATACAATCTAACCGTTGTTAAGGTAGAAATAAATATTTATTGAATTCATAGGTATCTTAGTGTGGGAGAGCCAAGCTCCGACGCGATTGGGCTGGCTAGAATATGGCATTACAGAAAACTGGTGTGGAACGACCACAGCGTTGTCTTTGGCTCTGCGAGTTACTAGTAGGTTACCGGAGACGTAAACCTTTCCCTCCCCCCAATAGGGGAGGGCCCTATCCGTAAATCTTCGAAACCGTTACCCTAAAAGAATACCCAAAAGAAAACTCGAGATTGCTTACCGTCAGGTAATGCCTATACTCGTTAGCCGCCTTATCGCATTAAAAAACGTAGGATAATTAATATTTAGTTCATTTATTGTTTAATTTGTGTTTATGTTCATTATTTCTTAAGACCAATAAGTAAATTAATTTGAGTAAGGCGGTATGATACTTGCACATAATATGCGGCATGTCAATGATATCTCCTAACCATCAAAACTTGACAACGCAAAAAGCCATCGAATACCAAACCTGGGGCTCATTCGGGCTGATGTCCATGCAGTTGTAAGCGCTGTTATGTCCTGCAGCGCCAGCCCAAAGCATAAGAAATAAAAGACTGGTTTTGAGACATGTAGATTTTGACACGCCCTCTTGGAAAAGAGTTCAGTGCGGAAAAAGAGAGTGAATTTTGCAAAAAAGCTGAAATGACCAACAAATACTTACTAAATTCGAGCAAAGAGTGAAGAGGTAATTGGCATCTCTTAAGGAAAAAAACAATTGAAATACAAATAAAATATTGGTTACCTAACTTTTTTATCAACTAATAAAATATTTTATTTGTTCTTAGAAACTTAATTCATAAGTTAATAGTGGTGTTTAAAAATAATTTTATTTCGGTAAATATTATCATATATGCTTGCTCATTGGTTACTGAAGTATAATCCAATTTGGCTTGCCTATATTGTATTATTGGTAATTCAATTGCAGATAATACTTAATCATTATAATCCGTAATGAATCCAATGCAATTAATTTGCTACATTATGCCCCGACTGGTAATCTCGAAATATGTATTTGTGGTGATTGTCTCATCATCCTATCATTAATCTCATCATCATCATCAACACCGTTCTCTAATTAGTCACATTGAAAGTGTAAAAGGTGAGAAGTCCTTACAGTTTTGATAGCTATATAAAATCCATAGTGGAAATTATGGATACCATTCAACATATTACTAATAATTCCAACATAAAGCCCAAATCATGGCAGTTGTCATGCGACAACCTTCTTTATTTCGTCGATAAATCAAACCTGAAGACTTGCTCAAAATTAAATTATTAAAAAAAAGCGCCAAAAAATACAATGTCTCAACAAACAAGCCTTAATTAAATTCATAAAAAAACATATATATGTAACTGTCGATTTTTGACAATTCGAAAAAAGTCCCAATCAATAATGTTCCTTTTTTTAAGTCAGGGGACCGGTATAATATAAGTTTTGCAAAGGCAGTAAGTATAGTCGACAACAAAAGCTAGAGACACAGTTTCCATCGAAGAAAAAAGGAGCAAAAGTCTGGACACAAGTCCAGCCTACTTATCGTTCATAAATACTGTTAAAATTTGAAAATTCACAATGCAATATTGCTTCCGATCTTCCAAATGGGACGTTTACTTCATCGTGACATTTGTTATCTAATTGGTAACTTGAACTTGAAAATTGTATTCAACAACTCACCCAAGACCAATTTACTAGCTATACCTATTACTTGAATAAAGTTTTTAAGTGTGGGAGAGTCAAGCTTCTGCACGAGGCTCGAACTCTCTCCCTCCTCCATATCTTCCCAATCCTTAAATATCTGAAAACCTTATCCCCAAAAAGCCGGCAACGCATTCATAACCCCTATGGTGTTGCGGGTGTCCATGATCGTTCAGATAATCAGTATGATCGTCCCTGCCGACCTACCTCATAAAAAAATACCATTGAAACAAAAGTTTTAAGATAGTTACTGTTTTTTTTTTTCTACGTTTGTATATGTCATTGCTATCTGGCCTTGAACGTGCAACAAAAAACATATAATGATTCGGTTAATCACACATTAAAATTTGTATCAACTAATTTGTACTATGTCTACTATATACAATACCTTTGCCAAAATATCTATTGACTTCCTAGACTATTGTTGTATAAAGATCGCAAAGAAATCCGCTGACGTCACAATGCGGATATTAGAAGAATTTATCAAACACGGGTTTCGAATGAGACACCTACATAAAAACAAAAACAAAATTTGACTTGCAATAATATGCCATTTGTTTTTAATAAGCTGTTATTTTATTTATTTTCAACTTCCTCCAAAGCAAGCTAAAAAGGTTGCATGTCAGTTAAATTAGCTTATATGGTTTGAAAAAATTATTTGTAATTTGTACAAATAATTTTAAAGTAAAGGAAAAAAACAACAAGTAAGTTTTTTTATTTGTTCTTCAAATGGTCCCAAACACGATAATTACTGGTCAGCTAATTAACTCCGCGTATTAACCGAATTTTAATCCGAAAAAAGCATCGTAACGAAATTTCGGAACTTTCAAACCCGGCTAAAAACGAGAGACTGTGAGAGATTAGCACATCCATACAAATAAACTTCGCATTTTTTGTAGAGTTAAGTATCCGAACAAAAAGCCACAAACAAAAGTGTTTCCTATAAACAAAAAAACTCACGACGACAATTGAATAGTTTTTAATGGACAATAAAGATTTCTTTTCCCGGATACAATCAGCCTGGATACAAGGAAATTGTTATAAGGAGAAAACTGTCGGCTGAATAATTAGTACACATAATAGCAAGGTCACATAAAAATTTTAATACTTGCACTCCCTTCTCCCTACTTATATTATACAGATAATATATAGATATAGATTGCCATTAGTCCGCTATGCTCCTCAAAGCGGACTTGTGAGAATCTGCGAGAATCACGCACAAAAAAATTTTAAAAATATCTTACTCAAATAAAAGAACATTAAATCGCCTCACATAACGATTGGACATGAGTTCCCCCTTCTCTCTCCCTCCAAGAAACGAACTTGTAACTCCTCAGTGTCGTATTGTGTTGAGTGTCCATGGGTAGCAAGGATCGACTACTTTCATTCTTTTTTATCTATACCATAAAAAAACAGTCCACACGAAGACAAAAAAGTAGTCTACACGGCTCACAGTGTGTCATCAATAGTAGCCCCTGACCACTCGAACAACGAGGTTTCTAATATTTACCCAAGTCATATAACAGTATTATGACAATAGTAAAACAAACTGATAAAGCCGGTCCAGATGATGAAATGATGAATGGCACTCAATGTTATCTAGACATTCCCTCCCGATAAATTCCAGATAGTACTGCGATTGTCATCATTTTTTGCATTCGTCATCAGTAATCGATAAAAATCTCGATTCTCAAGTAGTTGTTCTTATAACAAATCTGACAGTTATTTATCAATTCGTTAACAGATCTATTATGTTTTAAGCAGACGCATTTGCGTAAGTAAAACACACTGATTTATACGGTATGGTATAAAATTTAAAAAAAAATTATCAGCGATAAAAAAATATTAACATCTCCATAATTATGTACATAGTCTATTTAATTTAATCATCAATCGTACCATTAAAAGATGAGTCATTTTTAAGCTGACATTGACCAAAAAGTTGTCGAACAACACTAAAGTGAATGGTGTTTATTGGCAAGCCTGATAATGAAGACTCTTTATGTCAACACCTCTCTCTTTATGTCACAGAAAACCGGCCAGCTCAGTGTTGTGTTTCGCCGTGTGAGTGAGGTTACCGGAGGCCCAATCTTTCTCCTCCCTAAATCTACAAAATCCGAATTCCCAAAAATCTGGCAACGCACACGTAAATAACTCCTTTGTAGTTACGAAGTCCATGAGGAGCGATCATTGCTTACCATCAGGTAATACGGCTGCTCGTTTGCCACCATATCACATAAAAAACATTCAATCAAACTACTCGAAATGGCAATGATTCTTATGGAGTCCTTGAATTTTATAGAAGTAAACACATAAAAACGTAGTTAGTGTTTTGAAAAGATTACGATTGCTTCGTTAAGTATCAACAGGAAAAAACTACTAAGGCCTCGTGTTATGATACGATAAGTAAGTAGTTTCTTTTAAAAACATTCATGTGAAGAAAGCGGAACCTCCAATGTCAAATGTACAAGGTCGAAGGATGGCAAGATGGAAAGTAAATATTTTCATAATAATTTTAACTATAAGTTAATATCCTTAAATTGAAGAGTATTTAATAGAGAGAATATGTTTTTTAAGACTGTATCTATTCTATAAAAATATCGGGATAAAAATACACATGACAAATTATTTTCGTTGTTTTTTTTCCCTCATACGGCTAAGTAAGTTGCCGGCCTAACGGTTGTAATCTATTTAAGATACGATTTTAGTATTCGAAATTTGGTATCTTCCAATTTTAAAAATAACTGGAAATAACAAAAAAATTAAATCAGCAATGCATAAGCTGATCTTTAAATTCCTAATCCCGAGAAGGCCGATAGCGTAATAGCACCTCTTCTACGGTTGCAGGTGACCATTGATTATTGATTACTTACCATCGGGTATTCCGGTAATCCCCAGTAGCTTTATCCAATAAATCGTCCTCAATCCCATCTAACAATATCAACTGTCTTACATTCGACGAAAAACAAAAGATTACATTTATCACTATTTGCATAAAAAAATGGCAAAATATGCATCTGTCATCACTTGGTACATACTTTACATAACCTATTACCTAACGTGAACTAACAGGGTCAGCTGAATATGAGGTTTCAGGACTGTTTACGAGTCATTGTATTGTCCATACCCATACCCGTACAATAGAGAGGAAATGAGTGTAATCCAATATCATTACGTTACTGATGATGAATAAGTCCGTCCAATTATATTAGGTCATTTTTTTGTCTGTAATTCCTAAAGAAGTAAGCAAATATATCCACTACTAGATATACCTACTACACTACTTTTAAGCGTTTTAAAAAGTAAACCGTCTTATTCGTAGTAGAAAAAGAAGGAAGAGGTTTTTAGTCAGTTAGATTATGTTACTTCGTCTCGACATATCCACGGTATGAGATTCAAAGCAAAGACATTATTAATTAAATAAATTATAAATATATAGCAGCTATGTAAATATTTCCATATACTCGTCCACCTAAGGACACGACGGTCATTGTTTATTTTATAATCAATATTTTTCTTTACGAAAATGTTATATGCACTCTCGCTTGGTGTTCAAACGCTGGTCGACTTCTATTGGTCGTAGCGTGATAATTTCAAAGTCAAAATCATTAATCCCAACTAAACCATAAATAGGTATTTAGGAACGTCAAAATAGAATAATAGTCCGTCAGTCAGTGAAGGTAGGTGTTCGCGTCAAAGTGTAGATTTGAATGGAGAAGTAACTCCATCTTTTCTCGTTGCTTTATAGCCTAAATCATAAATAACCTATCCTGGTTATTTATGGAGGAAGGCAGACACGGAAAGAGTTCTTTAATTTGAATCACCACTTGGGGAGATTAGCGCGATTTTTGGTATACTGTCCAGAAAAGGTTTAAGCGGCGATTTTCTCACCATTTGATTTTTACTTTTAAAAATAAAAATTCTCCATCCAAAACGCACTGCTTTTTAAATGACATTAGATACATTTTATAAAGAACAAAATTGTCATTATTAAACTTTTTAATCCGTTACGGAGTTTGTCAAGTCAGATAGTATTGATCACGGGTATTAATATACGAACATATATTAATTTTATTACTATTTTGTTTCTAGTAATTTCATTAGTGAGATACGTATATGTTTTATTGTGAACGCCCTTTTGGTTCTTATACTTGATTTGAGAGTTGATGGCGAAATCGAAACAAACCAAACCGCTTCTCATATAACTGGAGTAGGTCGAAAGTTGTAGGATCCCATAAATCACTGAACCAAATAATTTCAAATATATAATAGAACCGTTACTACATTTATCAACGTTTTAATATTTACAAAAGTATTTTTAATATTTAAAATATATTAATAAAACGCGTTGACAGAAAAATAAAATAATTTCAAAGAAAGAGCCTACACTTTGTTTGTCAACTTCTTAATATTCACAAAAGTCTTCTACAATATTTGAAATATATTTTATTAACGCGTTGGCAGAAAACTAGACACTTATAAATACAAATAGAAGAAATCATTAAAATAAAATCGATGCCTTAACAAATGGTACAGAACTGTACCGCAAATCGATCTCCTAATCCCATTGACCTTATGAAAACAAACAAAACATAAGCATTGCACACTATACACAAAAACTTACCTGCTTCAATAATGCTGGTGATATTTTAGTCATAATGTAAACAACTGTAGCACTTATGTAATAAGGTTGCTTATTGCAAAAACACTGGTTTCAAAACTGCGAGTACGGACACATAAGAGCAATGTACACATATATCGGTTTGAATAACGGACGACGACCGGCAAAAGACGACTGACTCCTCTTGGCCACCTAGAATGACTGTACAGATCTCCTACCACCTGTTTTGATTACAATCTATTACACGTAAACGCCTGATCATGTGAGATGATCTTCCATCGGCATGACAGCGTCGATGCTGTAACCTCGATATCAGCCATTCAAAAGAGACTGGTTCAAAAATGACAAAATGACTTTGAACTAAGATGCATGAACAAATATTACGCAAAGAGAGGTCAACATATCCTAGTAAGTATTATTTTTTTGCACTCATATAACACGGTTACATTGTTTGAGAATATATACGATATAATATGTTTACGCTATGGACAATGTATGAATACATTTAAATAAACCAGTAACGGTATACACAACAAAACAACATAAACACACACAAATTACTAAATTAGTGTTATGTTTAAGAAAAATTGTCTAGAAGTATGTAATAGGAGAAGATCAAATACAAGAAAACAGTCAGATTGAGTCAACCCGAATCCGAATTACATATCGCACTATTCACGCTTCTACCGCTTAAGTCTGATTGGAATAAAGGACTACTGTGGACGCCCTCAACCCCATCTATGATCTAGGGGATTTAGGTCATTAAGTAAATAAAAACTTTCTATTCATTGTTTAACTTGCATTGACATTTAAGACATGTCATAACGACACTATATTTGTGTAGGTATGTAACATTTGAATTGACAAAAGAAAGACATACTCATTTATAGCACGTGATAACGTGGTGGCCCGGAGATTAATCCATGTACAAAACCTGGCAAGTACCAATGAGACTTTTTTAGAAAGAAAAGGGTATTCTCTAAGTTTATTTAGATACCACTGGTATATGGTGAAGGAATTATAATTTCTGATTATAAATTAGGAATAGCCAATCCACCTTGAGAAAGCATGGTGATTAAAACTTAACCTTTTCCAACCGAGAAGAAATTTTTGCTCAGAAGTTGGCATTTATAGTCTAGTAATGATGATAATCATTATTATCACTTCACTAGCAGGAAGTACGCATATTTTACTAAACACATCTTTACTGAACACGGCTTTTGTTCCTATTAATTATGTACGGTCAATGTAAACAGTCAAGTCATTTAGTAGATGTTATTTTGCGGAGCACTCGTAATACAAAACACATGTTGAATTGCCTTCGCATCTAAATCTAAAAAAGATATATAGCTGTAGGTAATAAATAAACTTATGTATAAAAATAAATAGCTGTTCGTTAGTCTCGCTTAAACTCGAGAAATGCTGGACCGATTTAGTCCATTTTCATCTTGTAATATTTCTTAGAGTCCTGGGAAGGTTTAAAAGTGGAAAAAAAGGATTTATTGACTATAAAGCAGTCTAAAATCCGGGTCACCCAGTATGCAATAATATTATTTAAAATAATGTGACAGAAAACTCTTTGACATCATGACGTCAATGGATGGTTGTCAAACGTTGCCTAGAGATTGTAAATTTCGTCGTGAATTGTCAACACGAGTTGGTGTAATCGGTAAGGCGTGTGGATTACACCACAGAGACCCCGAGTTCGAGTCCCGCCGTAAACATGAAGTTTTTTAGTTGATGGAAGTTTTGTCGAACTTTCTGGAATATTTGAGTGAAAGTGATGAAAAATTAAGGAGCGAGAAGAAGAATAAATAAAAATGAATAACGAAATTATTGGAAGATTCTGGAGGCATGACGATCAAAAAGAATAACGAAATTGAATGTTCTAGAACCTGACCTAGAGGGGGTATATAAGCGGAACTGCGGCTCACCGCTGGCAGTTGAGTTCTAAGTCTAAAGCGATTCGGAAGAAAAGGAAGAAGTGAGAAAGAAGAAAAGTGAGTGAAATAGTGAAGTGCAGTGAAATAGTGAAGTGCAGTCAGTTAAGTGAGTTAAGTCAGCGTGAACGGCAAAGTTGTGTCAGTCGGCCGGACTCTGCTGGAGAGGAATGCCGATAACTTAACTCCGTGGACGCTGTAACTTAAGTGCAATAGAAAGTCTGAAAACCGGTATTAGTGTTTCATTTCATCCAATCCCGTAACCCAAGCCCGCATAGTCAGGAACGTGACGTCAGGCACGTAACATTTGGTGTCAGAAGTGGGATTGGAGAAAAATGCCGCTAGTGCCGCAGGACGTAAGAGGAGTGAGTACCCGTTCAATGTCAGAAGCGCAGCGTGTGAGGGAAGAGGGTGCTGCAGCTCAAACCAGCGATGCAGAAGCCAAGCCTGTGCAGGTGGATCTTCTGCTACAGCTGCAGCAAATGATGGCAGAGCAAGCGCGCCGCCAAGAAGAGCAAGCGCGCCGCCAAGAAGAGCAAGCGCGCCGCCAAGAAGAGCAAGCGCGCTGTCAGGCAGAACAGCTGTGGGAGCTGAAAGAAGAGCAAGCGCGCCGCCAAGAAGAGCAAGAGCGCCGCCAAGAAGAGCAAGCGCGCCGCCAAGAGGAGCAAGC